GGGGGGGGAGATGCCTGCTTTGACTTAGCAGTATGTATCTTGAGTCCTTACAGTAACAAAAGAGTAGTAAAGAAAAGCACATCAACACAAAAACAGAAGAAAGCCCAGCTACATTAGACAGCAACAACCGAAAACAGAAAAGAAGACCTGCCAACAACCTGTACAAAGAGAACAGAAGTCACAAAACAAACAACACAGGAAGGTAGACCAGGTAACAGCAAACGGTGGAAACAAAAGTTACAAACTTACTGTTAGCGGGGAGGTTGCGCTTGGTCACACAGGAGCAATAGTTCATGGCATTGCTGATGTAGAGAGGCTTCACAGTTAGAGAGTCCTCCTGTTTCCTGAGGGATGATTGCAATCTATATGAGAATATCTAACGTCATCCCCATCTACACAATTTGGAACATTTTGCTACCTTAGAAGTACAAAGTTTTATCTGATCTTTTCGGCCGTTTTGAGTTAGTTAAGACCGTGAGGTCAGAAACCAAATGCCCTACCTCCTCAATAAAAATCGTAACGTTACTCAAGGTCGTCATCAAGATATCAAAAGAATTGGATTCGAAAAAGCTGAACCATGTTGTGAAATGCACAACTTTTTACTTCAACTTTTTAAAAACTAGGTACGGAGTAGATAGAACTTTGTAATTCTAGGGTAGGAATTTAGGAGGTGAGCTTCTTCAACCCTGCTCTGAATCTCCATCTACACAATTTAAAACATTCAGGAGATGAGTTTATTCAACCATGCTCTAAATCTTCATGAAATTCCCCTACAATGGAACATGATAGATTTATGCTGTTAGGACCTAGAAAAGAACATACTCAAAACGTTTCGATTTCGTTGGGAAATTGATGACAATCCTTACTGTTAACTTTAAAGTCCCAGTCCCAAAGGAGTTTCCATAAACACACCTAGATCCACAAAATGGTATCTTTAAAAATTGGGGAGAAAAGTGACAAAGGTAGTGCAGTTGAAAAATATAATTCTGGGATATTTGAAGTTAATAAAAAAGAATGTTGCAAATACAATCAAATTTGCTTGTCATCTACTTGTACTATGATCTTCAGTGCGTAACAAAAACCGCTGGATCTCAAATCTTATTCACTTGTGAGCATTTTGGTGCATGATGTGTATTACACATTTTTAAATACTTATGTTTTTAAGTAAAATAATTAGTATTCAAATTCAATTCACAAATGAAAGGCAAAATAATTTGCAGTTCAGGAATTTTTTGCAGTGGAACTATCTGCTGCCCAAAATATCCCCCCCCCCCCAAAAAAAAAAAATCAATAAAAAAAATCATACAACTACATTTATCAAATTCTTGTTGTCTTGAAGTTGCCACTGCACATCCATTAACAAAACACCACAGAAGAATCTAAAATTTGTGCTTTAAAAAACATCCTAAAAGACAAAACAAAACATCAAGAAGTTTTGCATCTTTCAAGGATAAACTTCATTATCAACATTCTCCTTGAAACAACAAAAAAAGCAGAGAACATAGGATTTATTTCTCTTAACACCAGCATATCCACAGAAAAGTACCACAGAGTATCTAAAAAACAAAAATATGGACTTAAAAAGTCAGTGTGTACACAATTCAAAAGGCATTTCCAAATGAATAGATTAGGACAATAGAAACCCTAAAAAGAGAAAGAAAAAAAATCACAAAAGAGTGCCAGGCAACAACCTTTCTCTCGTTGGGTAACTGCAAGTTGTCTAAAAAAAAACAATCCTCGACTTACCCTAAGTCAAACAGCACCAGGTTGAAACCATTGTATGAGTATCTCTGCTTATGAATGGCAGTTCCATATTGGTCTATGTCCTCCGAACCTGATATGAATTTTGTCACGAGATGCCCTGAAAATAGAAATTGGAAGTAGCCCAGTCAAAACAAATCCCAAGAACTCCAGCACACCAAGTTTGACCAAGATGGATTTCTCAAAAACAATCAAAGATGCCAGAGCTCTTCAGCCAGGCACTTTACCCAAAAAATTGTTTTAAGACTTGTGAACAGCAGCTAATGAACTGTTAAAGTTAAAAGTATTTGTTCCTTATGCCAGGCACAGATCAGCAATGATAGAAAGATGCAAATTTGACATTTATAAACAAAATTAAACCAATTATATGTCACGAAGGTTAGATGTGAAAAAACAAACATGTACAATCAGCTACATAAGCTCAGATTTACTTTTTTTTCTAGCCTTTGAATCACAATGACAAGTTCATACATGGAGATAACAGTACATAGAAAGGCTCTTCCATGGAGCAGAAACTCTAGCGGGCACTGATTCAAAGAGTTTTCTTAGACCAAACTGATGAGGATTTTTTAAAGCTGAATGGGTAGAAGCCAACAATCACAGGTCAATTTGCTCAAATTCAAGGCACTGGTAGAAACTAATCCTCGCTTTTCTGTATCTTAAAAAAAAAAAAGAAACAACAAGAGTTTCTATTCTCACAGTGCTCACAGTGAAAGAAAACCTAATTGCCTTCAAATTTTACAAATCAAAGGATTTAACAAGGGGCAAAAGTGGGGACCATCCAGGAAAAAGGAGAAAGACATGAAAATGTTAGGCAGCAGGGGCTTGGGGGTAAAAACGGCAAATTTACAAGAAATTTACACGAGCATGAAAATATAATTAGTAGGCCCCTATTAAAGGCAGTAAACAATCGAAAAACAATCTATTTCTAAGTAGCATCCGTACTAACAAAGCCACCTAAAGCCAGTGTAATAGTGAATAACTGATGGTAAATTTACTTTTGCTACATTTCAAAAAGGAATTTTTAAAAAGGAAACATGGAAAGTTAGTCTACGAGTTAGTCTAAGCAAGCAGTGATCAAGTGCATGGAATATCAGAGTGTGATAATATGAGAACAAAGACCATTTTCTATGCCAACTAAGAACTACTTATGACAACATCAAAGCTGGAAGAGAACTTTACTCCAACTCACAACTAACCAAATCACACAGGACACATGGAATAACAACCTCTCCCAAGTTTATTTGGGTCTTGTTGTCCCAGGATGTTCAGCAGAACTGCCAGTTTCCCACTGGAATTCATGCCTAGCCAAGTGCCTCCTTCTCTCCCTGGCATCTGGTCCAGTCCTGGAAAAAAAGAACAACGACAAAATTATACTAAGCATTTTTCCATTTTGGTATCTTCATAACTGAATTGTGAAAAACAGACCAAACTTATGCAAATATTTTGCTCATGTCTTCTTGCTTCTTGTATCAAGCTCTATCGGATGAGAAAGAAAACAGGTAAACCCAAGAAAACATACCCTGCTTCTGACATGACAAATTTGTCAGTCTCTCCCACATTCACTCATTTCCATGTATACTTGTGGGTCAGTTTTTTAAACATTATGTTCTTATACTATTTGTCTCTGTTATGTGTCAGTTAGTAACACATAATAAATGGATGACAATGTTTTGCCAGAAGTAAATTTATTTAAAAATGAACACATCGACAGAGAAAGTATTCCAACTTTAAACGGTAAAAGGGACAACTCAAAACAGTAAAAGAGCAAAGAGTGAGCACAAAAATCTTCAAATGCTTAAGATAACCAGCAGACTATGTTGCAGGTAATTGAACTATACATCAAGATCAGTGTTAATCCAGAATTAGGGCAAGGGCTATTTTTGTCTTAAAAGATCGCTTGAAAACCCTTTGCATTGTGTCTTAGTAAGTTAACAGCGTGAAAATTACGAAATATGACATTGGCTCAAATTTTGCATTTCTTTTCTGCAGTGCCTTTCACTCGCACATTGTTTTCCTTGAAATTAGTAATTTCAAACTTACATCACTTTATTCAAAATTACTCTGCAGCAGATATAATAAGTATAAGCCTTTGCCAAAAGGCGGTATACATGAGTGTGACTAATGAGGTCCAAAATCAACTTAATGAAGTAACTCTTTAATCATCTATTACTTGAGTGTGTGTATATATATGTGTGTGTGTATAATACAGTAGTCTCCGCCTAAGATCCCGGTGCTCGGGAGCAAGAAAATTGCCGGATCTTAGCTGACGAACCCAGGAAAGAATCTACAGTGATCCATGTTAAAGCTCATAATCTGTAAAATGGTCTCCCTCCACTATAAATTGAACTGACGTGACTTCTGGGTGGGTTTATGACATGCTGAGCAAAGAGTGGTTAACTTTAATGACTTATCACAGTGCATAATGGCATGTCATTTAGATTTATCATCCTATCGTGAGTATCAAGATCTACGCTTATCCCGTTACCCCTCCCCTTACCTGTTGAAAATTTATAGCTTTCCACCTCTGACCGAGTTCCCCCCGCCTTTGTCATTATGCAGCAATACGTTGCGGACACACCAATTAAAATTCAGTCTGTCTCGCAAATTCGGGAATAGAGAAAAATGCTGCAATGGTCAAGGAAGAGTTCACAGTTTGATGTGATCCTGCCTGAAGTGAAGTGATGTAAGTTTAGGTGGAAAGCTCATATATGCGAGTGCGATGTTTGAGGAAAACAAACGGGTCCATCAGTTCACACATCCGTGTGATCCTGTAATGGGCGAACATTGTACCGTTTCATCCAGTTTTACAACACATATGTGACCACATTCATGACAGTGGCTGATCTTTGACGCTACGGGCATTTCATTGATCTCAGCTTTTCAATCTTGGCTGATCGGCTGTGCCTGCCCTGGTTTTTGTTCCATAAATTATTATCAAAAATGCGGGATCTTAGCCGAACGTAGACCTTCAGAGTGAATTAGAGTGGGATCATAGGGGTGACTTTTGTGTATAGTAAAAATTCTGTTCTCTTAAAACAGTCCTGTGGGATCTTAAGTAAACCGTGATCATAAGCGGTGGAATCTTAGGCGGAGACTACAGTATAGCCTATATGCAATGGTCTTGGTTTCCATATATATATCTATAAATTATCATATAAATCACTGGGGCCATTGTCTCAATAGACTGAGAAAAAACGTTTGAAACAAGAGGCAAACCATAATTCCCAGAGGCTGTTTCTGATCTAACACTCCATCATGATGATATAGGATAGGGAGATGGTTAGTTACAGGATATCTATATAAATATTAACATCATTTACCGCTTATACAGGATTTGTCTGCAGCCCAAAAATCCGCCTCTTTCGTTGGTCTATCCCAGTACTCATCTCGATTGTTGGCAAGAATTAATCTGTACCCATCTGGCTGCCAGATTTCACTCTGACAGAAGTACAGGATACACATTCTTCTCAACGTAAACCGAATCTTGAAGCTTTTGAGATGGCACTAGTATACTTGTGAGGGCTGAATTGATCTGAAACCAAAAAATGAAACAAATGAATATTAGTATTAGCCCACAATCACTCACCGGGCAAAGTTGAAACAAGTCAGCCATAATAAGGTGGTAGTAAAACTGAATTTCAGAAATGGCTGATTATTCAAATCTGGCCTTTCTAAGAATTAGGAGCTATACTAGAGAGCATTTGTATGGCGCAAATTTCCGTTCAACAGCAAGCTCTGTGCACTTTACAGTCTAAGTCTAAGTCTATACTACACTAATACCGCAGCAGACTGGAGAGAATTCTGAAACAATCTCAACTTCCTGGGAAGGATACAGTGCAAGCTGCCAGTTATAGACCCTAAAAAACTTTACTGACAAGATCTTTAGCAGTCTACAGAAAGAGCTGGGTATCCATTCCCACCTGGGTGAAGTGAGGAAAATTCGGGTGAAGTGTCTTTCTCAAGGCTCGAATCCCCGAATCCACAACCTTACGATTACGAGTCAGGTAGCCTAACCACTAGACTACCAACGTCATCATTACTACACTTCCATAATGTCATATTATATAGATCTAGTAAACAGCAGGATGAAATTTAAAATTTAAAAAAAATTGTTGACCTGTTCTTAGGCTCCATCAACAGACAACTTACATCATTTTACAAGGCAGGCATCCGACTCAGACTATGGGACAAACCCAGGCTGACAGGGAAACTTGTTAAAAATTTCTCCCCATTTAGGAATTGAATTCGGATTTCCTGCATGCGATAACAAAGCACAACAGTTACACCACAGATGCCAATTGGGACAGAGAGAGGAGGAGATGATTAAGACAAAAAATTTTTTTAAATGACGGATTTAAATTTAAGCCCATGATAGACACTCAGGTGAAATGTGCATATAACCCTTCTCTTCTCCAAATTAGTAATGTGAATTAAGTTTTTTTTGGGACCATGCAATAACATGTGGTAAGAATCCTGAACAAGTGTGTCTGTGAGCAAGTAGTCAACTCCCATATAAAAAAGGAGCAGAACATCGCAATTGAAGTTTAGAAAAAAAAATCTGTTTGAGGAGAGGAAACAGGTAGACTGAAAAATCTAGCCAGATCTAGATCTTGATCAAAATATAAATAAGAACATAAATACAGTCGAACCTGTGTAATAAGACGGAATCGAAAGGGAGCCAGAAAAAAATTTCGTCTTAGGGGAATTTAGGGGGAGATGGAGGTCGGGGGGAGGGGGTTCAAAGGCTCAGCCGGTCGGATCAAGGACGGCTTGTCTGATCGGCAAGTAGTGGTCAAAACTTCACACCTCTCAATTGCTATCCTGTCTGATAATGACATGTGTCAGTCTTACTTATCCAATTACCACCGGTGCTTGCCTTTCATAGGACCACTGTCTGACCTATTAAAAACAGAAACGTTTGAACATCTCCATTGCTTCCACCCTTAGCCCCACCCACCAATGCCACCCCTTACTGCCATCATTGTAACAACGATTCGAGGAGCTCTTTTCTCGGCTGGCTGTACGATCAAGGCAGCAGGCATTGGTCAATCTAATTTCACACCTCTGGCTTCTGGACCCAGGAAAGTTTCCGTAGTGGCTCGCTACTCGAGCACTCTCACGGGCAGTTGTGAGATTTCACACCCACACTACACTGACCATCTGCTCGCTCAAGGCTCACATGAAAGGGTAACATCTACCCCCAAATTGCACCCCTACTCCCCCTCCTCGCCAAGCGGCATGGCCATAGCTTTAAGTTAAGATCCGGCCAGTTAAGTTTAGATATATATATATATAATATTGGTACACTAGTCGACTCGAGTCATTGATTGAGTCTATGCACATGCACAGAAATCAAATTTTGCTATACGCAAGTTATTGCGTGCAAGGTATCATAGTTTGCTATATATGCACGCAACTGTATAGACACGTTGAGTCTTTACACACAGTATCAGGTTCCGACTGTCGTACCGAACAGGAAGAAGGGATTATATCAAGAAAGGCTATCAAATCCCAGAGCTACATTCCATAATGAAAAAGTCTGAAAAAAGATACAGGCTGAACATCTTATCTCAAGAATAAGGTACAAGACAGAAGATTTCAGGTTATTTATCAGTTCTTATCCTCTTGCCTATGCATGTTTAGGCGCGACAGAAAGGGGGAAACATTATTCTGAGGGCAAACTTAAAGAAGAGGGAAATTTACAGAATTGTGTGTAGAGCAAAGCATGATACATTGCAAGTAATTGCGTGCGCATAGCAAAAAATGTGTTAAATTGGTGCATGCAATTGCGTGCATATAGAGACACTCCCCACTAAAGCTACCTCGTAGTCGTACTGTGTACACAGTACACTGTATATCGGCTATTATAGTAGACTATAGTATACATCTTGATCATGATCTAGATACTTAGATATCTACTAATACTAGAGATCTATCTAGATCTAGAATTCTAGATCTAATTATACAATGAAACTCGGATTGAACGAGCTGGAATTCAACGAAAGGAGATGGATTCTCTGGGTTTTTTTTCTTTAAATCTTTATCTCCGAGGGGGGGTAAACCTAATGCGCAGGGGCCCTTTTTTGGTGCTAAATCTAAAAACTGCAAAAACGTAATTAAACGGGTCATTAAATCGAAACTAGCAAACCTATCCTATTTCGATAGTTTTTCATGTAATGAACGAACTTCCGGTATAAGAGACCTATTTTCGGCAATTGTGGAAAATAATTAGAGCAGATGTCAAAGCCATCGTTAAATATAATCCGGATTCAACAAACAGTTAAGTCAGAAAGCTCGGATACAACAAGGTCGCTTCCAGGGCGAACAGCACCCGCAGAGGTGGCTTCACTCATTTTTCTCCCACAACGAACTTCATCTATTTCCGGAAAGCATTCATTGCACCTGCATCGTGAATCTCATTCACTTAGCGGATTGCATGCGACCAATCAGCGGCCTTCTTTTACACCAAGTCATGGTGTTGTTGGCACGCGCACGTGTCTTCTCTAGCATGCGTCAGAGTCGGATGGGCAGCCTGCACACATGTGGCTGTGGGTGCGTGTCCGGCGGGGGTGAGTGGGGGTTACCATCGATCAGGGCGTCGAACGTCGAAGATGCAAATGCGTCAGTCTTTCTCCCCCCCCCTGGGCAACAGATCATTGTTACTATGATAAACTAGTCTAGTCTTGACGTAGATCTACTCAATTAATTGTGCGCCGGTCTATGGAATCAGAAGTCGCCGTATGCTAGGCTCTATACAGTAACACAACTTTTTGGCAAGGAAGTGGTTCTCACCCCAGCTGTTCGTGTCTGAATAGTCAGAGTAGTCAGTTTGGAGCCAAATCACAGAAATTTGGCTCTTTTGGGTTTTGTTTGACCTGCATAATTTCATTCGGCTCTCAGGCTCTTTTTTCGGCTCCAAACTCCAAATGTTCAAGAAGAAGGGGAAAGAGGAGGCAAGAAAAAGAAAGAATAAAAGAAAAAAAATGAAAGTGAAGAAAAGAGCTTGGATTGTTCAATTATTAAACTAGTTGTACGATTTAACTCCCTCACCCATTTGGTCTGAATAATTTACAACCCTTCTATCGTCATGCCAGAGCATTTATTGTCTCTTGATTGTGTATACGCTCTTGTTCCTTGAACCATATTAATTGTGTGCAGGAAGAGAGTGAGAGGCCTGCCATCGTTAAGTGTGTAAACAATGAATGGTCCGGTCGGCGGCCGGTCCCACATCTCGTTCAGTAGTGTCGGTCGAGCCTTTTATTTTACTGGAGAGGCGAAAAATGTTATTACATTATTATTATTATTTGTTCTCAACTAGATCTACAGGCGGTAAGCCACCAAGGGCCTAGGTGATTTTATAGACCTGAGAGAGGTCAGGGGGGAGTTCTTGCCTCATGTCCACAGCGAGACATGGGTTATTGAGAATAAAGACCAGGTGGCCTTTCGGCAAACAATGGATGACATCGTGCATTTGAAAAAATCGGTCATGTTTTTTTTGCACAGCTCGTAATCAGGCGCGGTTCGTCCATAGAGCACAGTCGTGCAGTGCCGCCCAAAATTTTTTTGTGTTCTGTTTCGTAAAACACCCTCAATAATAAAATAAAAGAAGCCAGAAATAAACACAACAAGCCTAATATGATATCAAAACAAGGTTCTCACTGGTGCCATAACTGTTATTTCTGTGTCTACAACGCCGTAAAAGATCTGCTATGTCACGCCAAAGTCCATGCGCTTTAGCTGAACATAATATTCAACAGTGTAACCTGACCTATAAATCGCTCCTGGGGATAACCCAAGCGATGACGACACTCGTAGAGAGTTTGGTGGTACATTAATATTAATAAGACGGCACATCTCAAATGTGCTCCTGCTGAATAGTGCTGAAACATAGCCCACAGTAGGCAGTCTAAAAATAAACGCGATAGACCGTACGCTATTCTTTGCAATATTATGTGAGCCCCGGAGCAATCCAGCGGAGTGCTCAAGTGAATTGTGATTGGTTCATTGTCTGTCTTGCCACTATTTTAAGTGACTCTGTGACCGTGAACCTGAGGGAAGTGAACGTGACCGTCTTATAAGTTGTGCCTTTGAATGGTATTGTAGTGGAGTAGTGAAAGTTATTACTTCAGTCTTGAGTGTTCAGTTCCAATACAGGATGAACGAAATTGATGTTTAGCTAACAAACAAATTTAGTTATAGAAATTAAAGCGAAAAGTAAAAAGAATGAAAATAAAATCACGAAGTCCTCCCTCACGAACCCAAAGATCCTAAAATTGCACACTGTCTCATTTACTATGCCCTTGACTATCTTTAACATGTGATAGCTTAATTGTGCACATCCACTTTTTAGTCCCACGAGCCGCCCCTGCTCATAATGCAGGCATTTCAGACACCACTTGTTACTTCTCTCTACTATATTACTTGCTCAGTGCCTTATCTAGATCTAGGCCTACACAAAATCTCATGTAACTTGCTAGAAATCTAGATCTAGATTCTAGATCTAGAATCTAGATCTAGATCTAGATCTAGTCTAGATCTATATCTAGATCTATATAAAACTAAAACGAACACTCAGATTTAACGAGATTTTAGGTCAAGCCCGCTAGCGCCCACCTCGTTGAATCCGAGTTCCACTGTATTAGTATTATCTAATAATTCATCAAGATCTACAGGCAGAAAAACATCACTGGCTAATGTTAAGGTATGTGGTTGGGTTCACTTCTCCTACATGGCCACTTTTGCACCCACTTTTGTCCTTTTAGCCTTAGCAATCACTTCTGTTTCTTCTTGTCTTAATCTTAATGACTTACTTAATGTAAACAAATGGGAAGGCAAAGAGCCCCGATTCTTAGAGTAGAATCTAGATTCTAGATCTATCCTATCACAAGAATCTAGATCTAGATTTAAGAGCTACCAATTATTAACAACACAAAAGAAAGCCAGAGTTCAAATTATTATAAGCTGTGTACGCACCTGGCTGCAGTCTGTAATACTTCTGTGGCCGGCCGAGTGGACTATGTCAACACAGAGGTTACAAGGTCATGCAGTTTTTCTGGATAAGAATACAAACTGTATTTTCTTTTCTTATCATTTAATAATGATAATAAGAATAAAAATGATAATAAGGCTAATAATAATAATAATATTAATAATAATAATAATAATATTAATAATAAAGCGGCCAAGACAATAACAACACTGATTTTATCAAAGGTAGCGTCAACGTTCTCTACTAGCCTAACGTAGCCTAGAGGAGGTATACACACGCTGTCTACGTTCTCTAATGCTCAGTGCTTCCAAGCGTGACATCGAATCCTGGTCCCGGAAACTTTGGGTGTTTTTGTTGTTGTTGTTGTTGTTGTTGTTGTTGTTGTTGTTGTTTCCCCCTCTCCTTCTCCTTACTGACCAACAATTTGCCCCAGATCCCCAACCAGGACGAATAATAATTAGCAGGAGGAACAATTGGCAGGAGTCTGGAGGCCGCAGGAGTGCCCTGGATAAAGACCATTTGCAATTGTAGAGCTAAGCTTTGGCCTCTCTTAAAAAGCAAATTTTAAAAATTAGACTCACAGACCAAGGAAAGATCGGCAGATGAGGTCTGGAGGAAACTTTTAAAAACCCCAAAAATGGCGGAAAATTGGAAGCACTGAACGTTAGAGAATGTAGACAGCTTTTACATTATAATCTAACGTCAGAGAACGTACTTCGGATCCTTTATCAAAAATATATTAGATTACTAAGATTACACTGTAGCTCCTTTGCTGTAATACTTTTTTTTATCCGGTTTGGCGGCCGAAAAACTATCAAATTTACAAGTGCACTAAGTTATAATATTATGTAGTTTACTCCCAAATCAAGCAGCAAAAGTGATGCATGATTGACTAATTAATGGTTGGAACTAAAGAAATCAGCGCACACACTAGTTTCACCAATTCTGAAAGAACTATATTATAGGCCTACGTACGTTGGACCTGGATTCCAGATAGGCTCAAAATATACAAAACTGTTACTTTTCTGGGGGTTTTTTTAACATGTAGGCTATATATGATACTGATGTACAAAACTGTTACTTTTCTGGGTTTTTTTTTAACATGTAGGCTATATATGATACTGATGCAACCGATTTTCTAAAACTAAAAGAATTCTTGGAATTATATCATACACCCTGAGCCCTAGGCCAGGCTTAGATACACTGGCAATCTAATTCTAAGATTCTAAGAACCCCAAAACAAAACAAAACATGCGGCGAGCGTTCTTTTTTACTGTTTGGTTTCCATGTATATGGAACGAAATCCCTTATAAAATTAAAATACAAGGCCCTTCTATTCCCATTTTCCAAAAACAGCTAAATCATCTTATTCACAAAAGCATACCTGTCAAAACGATGATCGAACTGTTATATAATTATGCGTGTGTGTGCCCGACCGTGTGACTGGAAACAGCGTGAGAGAGAGAGAGAGAGAGAGAGAGAGAGAGAGAGAGAGAGGGAGAGAGAGAGAGAGAGAGAGAGAGAGAGGGAGAGAGAGAGAGAAACAGACAGACAGACAGACAGACAGACATGCAGAGAGACAGACATGCAGAGACAGCGAGGGATCGAGAGAGAGAGAGAGACAGAGAGAACGGAATAGTTTTTCTATTAATAGATAACGATTGTGTTTATTGAATGTTTAATAATTCAAGTTTCAATTTTATGCCCTATATATGTTACAGTTCGTGAGTTTTTATTGCATTCTTTCTTTTTATTTTTAGCAAACGCATTTTGTGAATATTTTTTCTCATAGAAATTTTTATCCAACATATATTATATATAAATATGTATATATATAATAATACATGTATATATATATATATATATATATTATATAATATATATATATAATGTATATATATTATATTATATGGATAATACCTGTTTTACGCACACACACATGTCCATTAATTTTTAAAGTGTGATATTTTAATCAATGTATAATGCTCACGGACCATTTTTTAAAGAAAATGGAAATGCTGAGAATAAATGCTATATTATTATTAAAAAATCATTTCAACGTTTGGTATAATGTACATATGTACCATTATAATGATGTAAATAAATGGACAAATACATTCTGACACAGGCTAACGTTGTTTTTTTCATCAGTTTTTATGTCTTAAGATTTACCCAGGTCTTTAGCACAAGACATAAATCATGATCATAAATTCTTTTTCTATTTTTGCATTGACATCTTGTAAGTGCAACTCATCCTTGTTCTCCATAAAAACCTCAGTGCACACCGGTGGGCATATTGTTACCGGCGTCAAAATTTAAATAAGGAATATTAGGACATTGTAATATTGTATTCGAATAGGCTATGGGACTTTTTTTTCTGTTATATATAGCTGGGCTTTCTAAGAAAGCCAACAGGCTACAATTAAGTACGTAAAGCTTTAGATATATGAATTAAGAGCTTTAATAATTGGAGTCTAAAACTAATTCATTTATTGTAGACGATAAAAAATTTAATTTTAATGGTTCATACCAAGAGATTATAATTATAACCTTTCTGCATTCATATAAGGCCTACATTATTTAATAGCCATCATGTATATGCATATATTGCATCTAGGCAAGAGTGTGGTCTAATGTTTGCGTTGCTCTCACTTAAAAAAAAACTGGGCTGGAGTAGTTTAAAATGCACATCGGGGCCTTTGGTAGTTTCATTTCGAGTCTAGGGCAGCAGCGTACTATCATGGTATTTATTTATTACGAGTCTTTTCTCTAATTATAGCTGCTCATCCTTCGCAAAGGGGGAGGGGGGGGGGGTTGAGCTTGAAAAGGTACTCAAATGAAAGCTTTACACATCACCCCGGACTGTTTATCACGACCAATACTGACGCCATAATATTATAATATGTGGTTAAAAAAAAAAAAAAAAAAAAATTGTGGAAAATTGATTAGTGCTGGAATATGCATACTCCAGGAGGGCTCCTGTCTTGACATGAATATCTTTCCTCTTCGTTTGTTATTAGTATCACATTACGGTGTATTAATAAATAAAAAGGATATAGTTTATCCTCTCACCCCCCCAAAAAAGCAAAAAAACCCAAAACAACAAAAAACAAAACAAAAACAACAAAACGAAAGCAACACACACACACACACACACACACACACACACACACACACACACACACACACACACACACACACGCACACGCACACACACACACCACACACTCACACACACACACACAAACACAAGCACACAACATAAGAATCAAATAAATGTTTTTGTAATAAAATTTAAATATATAAATAAATATAGGGAAAGTTTAGGCCCATATAGGAACTAACGTAACATTTAACAAATAAAGTTTATGAAAAAAAGGAGACTGCTTCTGAATTCACTCTTTTCACAGTAAAAGGAATATTTCAGATTCATCATTGTTGGGTACAAGCGCGCCTGACAAGACCCATTATTTTTTTTCTATTAGCCAACCCATATTATTAAGTTATTGCGAAATTATTACAAATAACGCGAAGCAAGTAGGTAATCGTCGCTGATTTCCTGTTACGGAAACTCAAACAAACTCATTTATCTCCCTTATTTTTCTGCGCATGCGTAAGTCTACGTTGATCAGAAAAGTCTGGAAGTAGGTAAACAAGGAGATGGGTGTTCGGTAATTATCTATCGAACAGCAATTTCTCTGCCCAGTGATTTAAAGACACGTTACATTACGTAGTTCTGTAGTTCCTGTAACAGTTTCAAAATGAGTGCCGAGGCTTCCTCGTCGTCTCCGAACGAGGAATGCGGTTCTCCAAATGATGATCAAAATGGGACCTACGAATGCAACATCTGCCTTGAAACTGCGAATGATCCTGTCGTTAGTATGTGTGGACACTTGTTTTGGTAAGTTGGCGTATATTATAACGCAATGTAACTGTAACTGGTAGACTTTCTTTCTAGATCCAGATCTAGATATAGATCTAGTCTAGATTTATTTAGATCTGGATCTCTATTTATGACTTAAAATCAAGGCCAAGTGTTCTTACTTTTCTAAGGGTTTCTTGGCCCAAGTAAATTGGTGGTCATCCGTTAGGAAGACCTTTTACTAAGACTTAGAGATTATAACATAACTGTAACACTTATAGGGTGGGTTGGGGCAACTTTGACAGATTTTTACTATCGGCGAATAGATCTAGTAGTCAACTTCTCTCGGCTCCTCTCAGTGCTGAGGAATGCCCGGATGCACTAGTCACAGTCATAGTGGGAATTAGGCCTCCTAAATTATAAAATGAAGCCTGTGGCTATGCGTACGGCCCTCCCGTACACATAGCCTCATAGCTATGCGTACAGCCTTCCCTCCCATACGTATAGCCTCGTGGCTATGGGTACGGTCCTCATGCGTATGGCCCTTAGATTTAGATATAAGTGTATGCTCACGGCCTTAATGAACTTAATGATCGCTCAGCTTGACCGCGTCACTTTATCGATCGATAAAGACAAAGATAATATATAACAAGATAGTTCACTCCTCTATAATTTAGCCAATTAAACAGACTTTGCGATTAGAGTTACCCTACTTGTGTGAAAATATATAATAAAAGTGAAACTAATTAACTAAATCTATGTATCAATGCCCACCAAGCGCGTTTTGTTCTGCTGATTTTTGGCCCCCGCAGCGGGGGTGTTTCGTGGGACGCACTAACGCAAAGGTTGTTGTCTTCAACTCGCTCTCACGCCGCTTCTCGTGAATGGATATGAATGAAACTTGGCAGCCAATCAGAAAAGAAGTCAATCTCGTAGTACCCGGTATGCAGTTTGACAACTTTGTACCCATCCAAGAAGTAGTCGAAAACGTTTGCGAAAGTGGTTGATGTGGTGCGCTTTGAAAATTTTTCGGAGCTGTGATTTGTCAAACTGACTGATTCGTTGTACACCATTTTTCTTTATTCCCTTAAAATTTCATGCTTCTGTGTTTAGCGGTTTTCGCGTAATCTTTAAAAATGTGGGAGTAACTAAGGGAAAAAGCGGCATTGCCATTTGCGCGTGCTGGGTGAACGACCGGCGGCTGGGAAATTTCCACTGAGTGACGTGATCAGCCATTGGTTGCCTCGGGCGCTACAAACGAGGCCCTGCTTATGTGAACCGGAAAAGGGGGGGGGAAGGATACTTGAAAATTAAACGGGGGCCTTGATAACTTACGTTTTTGTTGCATTTTAGTCACAATACAATAGATGTAGTCATTTTTATTTGCTTGATTGCTTGACAGAAGAATAGAAACAGAAAAGCAAACATCTTGAGAAGTGGTATGGCATTGTGTTTGCGTTATGAAAGCCTATTCCCCCCTCTTGGGAAAGCACACACTTGCAGGGTTCCCGCGGCCTCCTTGAATTCAAGGAGTCCTTGAAAACTGCTTGAATTTGCTTTCAAGGGAAAATGTCCTTGAAAACTCCTTGAATTTGCATTCAAGGAAAAATATCCTTGAAAACTCCTTGAATTTTGCCAGATCGGACAGGAACACGTGTACAGGGTGACTGCCAGGCCCCGGGAATCCCGGGGGCCGCTGGAATTACCCGGTCATTTGAAAAAAATCGCCGAGACCCGGAATACAACGGGAATTTGAAGAAATCTGTAAATTGCCCCGTGAAAGACTCGGGAAAATACATAAACGTTCTCGAATATTTGAAAACCAAATCCGACAACGTCCTTGAGTTCATTTTTGCCGGTCGCGGTTGTGATATAAAATTCATTCGGCCTTTCCCGGCATGAGAGTACGTTACACGCGCACATGCGGTAATGGCGGCAACAAGTGGAAGTGTATGTGCGATACCGAAGTTCGATCGGTAAAATCAAGATCTGCCTTCGCTTTCGTTACCATCCAGAAATTTGCCGGTAGGACCTATAGTAGTCTGATAGCGCCACATTTGTAACATGCAGGTTCTGCATTACAAACGCTGTGTCGCCATGAAAATAAATCGTTTGTCCTGTGCTGTTACTTGTGAAAAAAAAAAAGAAAGAAAAAGAAAGTTATACAAGCTTCTTGTCGGGCTTGCCATCGTGACCGGTCATTGAACCTGTGCATTTTCGTCACATCGTGAGTATCGCGATGGTTGAGGTCACCAAAGTTCATGCAAAGTCTGAGCGCTGCGAAGTATAGGACTCGGGAATGGGGGGATTATTGATTTTTTTTTTTAGACGCACGCGGGGGAAGGGGGGGGGGGGGGGGGGTGAAGGCAACACCGGATGACAAAAACTTAACTTGGAAGCAGATTTTACTTTTCAGAATTTTGATTACTACTATCTAGATCTCAAGCTCTCTGCAATGCGCGCGTTGGTGCAGGCCTTGTATGGAATCGGGATCTGTCATACTCAAGCCTAGTAAGCCGTATGTTTGTAACTAAAGGGTTCCCGTTTCATTGGGTAGGTGATAGTAAATTATATGAACAGTAGTCTCCGCCTAAGATCCCACCGCTTACGATCCCGGTTCGCTTAGGATCCAGCTGTTTTAAGAAAACAGAATTTTTACTATACAAAAGTCACCCCTAAGATCCCGCTCTGATTCACTCTTAAAAAGATCTACATTCAGCTAAGATCCCGCATTTCAGATTACATGTATAATTTGCGGAACAAAAACTCGGGCGGGCACAGCCGATCAACCAAGGGGGAAAAGTTGAGATCAATAAACTGTCCGTCGCGTCAAAGATCAGCCACTATCGTGAATGTGATCACATACACGTTGTAAAACTCGATGAAGCGATGCAATGTTTGCCCCAGACGGGATCACACAGAGGTGTGAACTGACCGACACGTTTGTTTTCCCCAAGTATCGCACTCACACCTGAGCTCTCACCCTAAACTTACATCACTCGCTGGGTAGGTAGGGCCTATACGTTCGCTCCAGGCGGGATCACATCGAATCGTGAACTCTTCCCCGACCATTGCAGCAGTTGTCTCTACTCCCGAATTTGCGAGACAAACTGAATTTTAATTGGTGTGTTCACAACGTAATGGTGTGTAACGACAAAGGCGGTTGGGGGGGGGGGGGGGGGACTCGGTCAGAGATGGCAAGCTATAAATTTTCGACAGGTAAAGGGGAGGGGCAGCTGGATAAGCGTAGATCTTGAGACTCATGATAGGATAATTCGTGAAAATGGCACACCTCATGCCACTATGCACTGTGATAGGTCTTCAAGGTTAACAACTCTTTGCTCGCCATACGTCATAAACCCACCAAGGGGTCACGTCAGTTCATTTTAGAGTGGAGGGAGACCATTTTACCGATTGTGAGCCTTAACATGGGTCACCATAGATTCTTCCCTGGGTTCGTCAGTTAAGATCCCGCATTTCTTGGCTCCCGAGCACCGGGATCTTAGGCGGAGACTAATGTATTGTATTCTATATTTGAGCTTTCTGTTCAAGATTTGCAGATTTTCAGTGTCACTGCGTCTTGCCCTCCCACAGTTTTTACACCTCTCACACTGAATAGGTCTACTTGAGACATATTCATGTTATTACTCTATTTTTAGTTAGAGTAATAATTTTTATCTTTTACATTTATTGTATAAACCTTGACACCCAGACTGGTTCTTGACAGTGGATATTCTGATTCTAGGCCTTTTCTCAGGCTCAAAGCAAGATTCATTTTTATATAGTTTATATAGGGGAATATGATGAGGGGAAAATATAAATAAGTAAGAACTGACTGAAATACCTAAGTCACAGTATCCCAGTGCCACACTGACATGTTGCTGACTGGAATGTACCTACATGCGTGCGTGCGCACCATTCTGTGTATATATTACTAAATAATATATAAATGAAGCATGCACTGTCATTGTTATGTAACATGCCCCTGGAGAATGGATGAGCCCCCCCCCCCACCGGAAAATTGAGAAGCCGGGTTGGCAGTCACCCTGCGAACAGTTTTTGTAGGGAAATCGAAACTATGATATGATTCTTTTCGGACAAGTGTAGACCTTCGAAAATAGGCTTTTGTCATGAATTTCTTGACCAAATCTCCTTGAATTTTAAAAATTTCTCCTTGAAACCTCCTTGAAATCTCCTTGAATTTGGTGGGAAGTTCATGGCAGGAACCCTGCACTTGGACTCGTCCTGTGTGCTCTGTTTGGAAAAGTGAGGCATTAAATAAAAGATTGTTATTGAAGAGTATGGTACTTATTTAGTCCAGTCTGGGAAGATAGTCCCGTTTATACATCGTTATCGTTCACGCGTGCGTGCTTGAGCTCGCGCGCGCGAGACAGAGAGAGAGAGAGAGAGAGAGATCATTTATTGTATGAGTTGTAGCCTACACATGCGAAATATTCCCATGACTTGTAAACTATATTATCTGAACGCATCTTAATCTACCACACAATAGGACACTGTCCAACAATGGATATACACAGAGACGATCTTACACAGAGACGATCTTACACAGAGACGATCTTATATTTTCTATAACAAAGTATGCATGCTTTTACTAGTACAGAACTGGATTAATTAGACTAATAAATCCAGCTCTCTACTTACATTTTTGTGACAAATTGATCCAGAGCATTGCTTGGCAAAGAGGAACCTTTTATGTTGCCAAGTTTCATTCAAATATCATGACTTTGGGAGAACATATGATTGATAATCTTTGTAAATCTGTAAAGTAGCAATGCCAATCGGGCTTTCCCGTGAGGCGAAAATTTGGTCCCCGTTTACGGCGATTTTGCGGACCCAGCCGAAGCGTAGGTGACTAACTTTGTCAACCTCGGTCTGCTCTATTTCCGAACCAATCCGAATTAAACTCGGCAACCAATCAGAAAATAGGGCAAACTAATGATATGTGGACGTTGAAGTTCGTACACATAAATTAACCTATACTTTTGGTGTCGGGAACTTTTTCGTATCGTGTACACCGAAAACTATAAGGAGTTTGAATTTCAACGCTGAGATGGTAATAGATCTATCTATCCTCTATAGTGTGCTCAAATTTGAACGTTCTGTGTCAAGTAGTTGTTTAGACCCGATCATAAATACACGACTGCCCCCCTATCCAAAGCGGCTTCGCACGGAGACCGGCCATTTTCCCCTCACTCTCGTGGCAAATGCATGTGACCTACAAATCCCCGCATGACTATTCCGGGCTCGTTCATTGGTCACTTGAAATAGGGCAATGGCGGGCGTGCGCATCCGGTTGTTTTTATCTCTATTTCCCTGTAACGTCGCTATGGGGGTATTCCGAGGCGAGGTTATCTCGTCTTGGGGTGTTCGCGTCTCAACGGGGAAAAATAATTTTTAATTGTACGCATGCTAGATTGAATTAACTTATATTTTAAGGTTGGCATGGTCTAAAGTCATCATAAAAAGCTTTGCAATTATTTAGTCACGCTGCCGACATATATTCTTAAAGATCCCATGTTGTGATACGATGCTATAAATAAAATGGACTCATCCCGACACCCCTTTTTCGCAAAATCGTAATATGTACACCACAATTTTAATTATAACAAAATAACTACGAAATTGGTAGTAAATCTGACTGCAGAAATGATTTCTACACTCAAAAACACATCGGGTAGCCAAGTTTCTCTCGAACACTCCGATTAGTTACCGAGATATCGTCGATTTTCTTACAGAATCTGCTACTGCGTGGTCCACTTTTTAGGAGTATTTTCCTATATGTGGGTCATCCATATTTTGCCGACCTTTACAATCCCATAACTTTTTTATTTATGAACCGATTCTCAAAATTCAAGAAGCATAATTCTTAGAATTGAAAATTCTTTCTTAGGTACCAAAAAAAAGGGGACAAAAGTGAAAATTTACATTTTCATTGGCATTGCTATGTAAAGAACGCCACTTTTTTACCTCTGTTAATGTCTTTACAACTCAAAAAGTATGACATATTAAAAATCTGACAGCATGACTAGATTCTGCAATAAAAAAATGTACTAGACTGCCAAGTTTCATTTACATCCAAGAAATAGGCGAGCTATGACAAATATTGTCTCAAAACGCACCGAAAACAGCCACATTTTTACCTATAAACGTCTTCATAACTCAAAAAATAGGATAGCTAAATGTGATGTTATAATGTTGGATATCCCTGATTTGGTGGTGTAAAAGTTGGTCATATGAGCGGGGGGGGGCTCTTGTGGCCTAGAGGTTAGGGTGTATGCCTCTCATTCAAAGATCCCAGGTTCGAATCTGGGTAGGTGCCGAAAAAATTTCTACAGTAAAATTGTCTTATTTCAACTCCTTTCCTACTCTCTAGCAATGTTCTATTGTCTGCTTTCATCTCCACTTTCTGCCCCCACCCGCTCACCCCCTTTGGGCTCCTGACTCTTTTTATAGCCTTTCTACTGCTACTCCTTAGCTCCTTCTTACTGTCTTTAAGCTACACCCCTGATTTTCTGGTAGGAAAGATCTACATCTAGCCTTCTCGGACAAGGGCGAAAAATCTTGGAGGTCCTGTGTGCGAGTTGCGCACATTAAAAATCTGTTGGTGGTCTAAAATCGATAAGAGTAGGCGTCGGCTGCCACCCACGGAAAATTCAAAATTTCCTACCAACTAAAAAAATATTTAATGTTTCCTGCACGCTCATATCTTACACAGTTGCGAGTGCCATAAAAACACTTACTAAAAAAAAAAAGAACACTCAGGACACAAGTTGGTTGTTTTCACATTTCATTATATTCATATTAGGCTTTCTCAGTTTTACTATGAAGTTATTTTTAATTTTTCTTGGGCGGCTTCTGAAACTAACTCTAGCGATTTTAGGACTACCAAGGGATCTTTAATGTGTGCATCTTGAATCTTGCACACTGGACCTCCCAAGATTTTTTCGCCCTTATTTGAGGTGTTTGATCACAGAGCTGTAAAAGTACTTTTGAAAAGGCACTTAGGTACAAATTTAAGTACAATCTAAAAAATGTGCTTAAGTACATTTTTAGTATTTTTGCTAATATAATGCTAAGACACTTCAGTGCTAATGCAAAAGATAATATTGAATACCAGGTCCAGCTTATTTGACAAATTAGACCATTTGTTACAAAAAATGTGAACAGTATACAAAGTATTTGAATATAATATACACTGAACTTGTGAAAATGGTTCATGAAATTGAAAAAAAAACCCCAAACAGACAGATGCAACTAGTTAATGATATTACCAATAGAAACTGCATGAGTAAGACAATGTAAAAATGTGATCAAATGTAAGTCTGTCCAGGAGGTTGGAAAGTTCTACAGGACCAAATTGGACAATATAGAGACAAAGTTGCTCTTTTAAGAAAACATAACATTGATGAAAATGGCCAGCAAAAGAAATGGAAAAGTGCATTAAACTCTTCATTAAAAAATTCTCAAGGTGTCTTTGTAGCCTTAAAAGCAAAAATCACAAAAAAAGTTTTAAAAAAAGAAAGAAATTTAGGTAGCCTAACAAATTGTCAGATCTACAACAATGAGAACCTAGTTTCAGTTTCAATTGATTATAGTGATAAGTGAAAACATTGTGGTCTGCTGTAACTGTAGGCTATGTAAATTCGCAAAACCTCATTGTATTAGGGAATTCACAGTTTTGGTAAGCGGTAAGGCTAGGCCTGGGACTGGAGAGAAGAAAGTAAACACGTCAACACTAGGCCAGATTTTTATCCCACTGTGTGGCACAAGGCAAACCCAAATAGTTTCATGGAGCAAGTTTAGAGTGTAACAAGTAGCCTAACAAGCCTACGGCAACATATTCTTAAAGACCAAAGAGGCATCCAATTCGCCCCCCCCCCCCTCTCTCTCTCTCTCTTTTTTTTTTGGCGTGACTTGGACTATATCCATCCATATCTTGTCTACTTGCAGTTGGCCATGCTTGCATCAGTGGCTGGAGACTCGGCCCAATAGACAGACATGTCCAGTTTGTAAAGCAGGCATTGGCAAGGATAAGGTGATTCCTATTTATGGCAGAGGAAATCCAAATCCACAAGATCCAAGGTAAGAGTCGTGTATGCTATAATAATACAGAAAGAATTAACTTCTAGCTTATTGAAATGTGTGTTCAGGGTATGTGCAGAGTGTATGGTCAAATGTGATAGATGTGAAATACTATTGGAGTAAGATGAACATTTTTCACTTTTTGCAGGTTTTGTCCATTGACAGGATGATCAGTTTGGGTGGGGGTTGAGTAGGGTGCTGAGGGTGGAGGCACAAAGTAAAGGTAACATGATTATATGATAAGTTTATGAGGCCACAGAAAACACTTTCTGTGTAAGGTATTTTTTCAAGTTCTGCAGAGTGATTTGGCGAGGAAGTTCTGTTGACTGTAATTAATGCTTAAATAAGTTTTGTTTTTGTTTTTATTACAGAGAAAAACTGCCCCCAAGACCAGCTGGGCAGAGGTCTGAACCAGAATCCTCTAATGTAAGCGGCATTTTCTTGACACTGTGGCAATAGAAACTTTTCACTTGGAGAGAAGACTGTATTGTACTTATTATTCAACACATAAAGACAAAAATTAACACAGACATATTTCAAAGTATGTCTAGCAGTGTACAGTCGAACCTGTGTAAAACAGCCTCCCATTGTCATGGAGAAAAGTGGCCGTTTGACACAGGTGGTCGTCTTATGCAGGACTGGTCAAAATGAAGAATGTAACCCATTCCCTTCTGAAGTCCAAACTGGGGCTGATTCAGGCTTAGGACGGCCGTAGGGCGAATTCAAAAGGGTTTTTGTTTTCATATGAAAAGGGGGAGGGGGGGGTGTGTGTGGAAGGGTAAGAAGGGGCTTTTCGGTTTTTTGTTTTTGCTGCTTTGTTGGGTTTTTGGAGGGTTTTTTTTTTGGATTGCTAATGTTGTGCAAGGATAAAGAATGTAAGACGATGAAGACCAAGTGTCATGGTAAAAGAAACACTTGATCCCCACCGCTTGGAGAGCGAGCAATGCTTCTGTGGCAAGTTCATGTCAACGTCCATTGTTACTTTGTTACAGATTAGGTATACAAAACAGTGACAAGAAGTTACTTCATGTACAATTTGTGTGAGTTGTGGACGCGGCTTATTTTAGGTTATGCCGGATCACATGCTTCTCTCACCAGCAGTTGAAGATGTATTGTTACCCATTGGTCAACTTGGGTAAACATTCATTGGAGGGACTAACAATAAGGACAGGTGAATGGATTATGACGGCCCGTCCACAGCGTCAGAGGCTAGACTTTACGACAGAGCATTTCGCAATAAGAGATCACGCCTGGCTGCCTCGGCAAGTTAAATTTGGCTTTGGGTTGATAAAATAAGGGGGCTGCGGCCGCGTTGGACAGGTGACCGTTTCACACACAGAAATTATGTAGAAAAAAAGCAAAGGGGGAAATGGAAAGTGGCTGTTTGCACAGGTGGCCATCATGGCAGGTTCGACTGTATTTTAGTATTACCTTTTGTTTCTTGATCATGTCTCACATGGTGGCACAGTGTTAAGCGCCAACTGGAACCCCTTGATTTCAAAATTTCATGCCAGTAGCGGTATTGTCGCCCCTTGCAATGATGCAAGATTTGCATTTTCAGCACCTTGGTTGAGGAAGTTTTTTTTTTTCTCTTTGAAATTAAATGTTGTGGCGGTCCATTCCACTTAGGAATCGATGCTTGTCCCTTTCGTTGTACAATATTGATTTCGTTTTGGGTGCTAACTCTTAGGCTGGTAATGGCAAAACATTCACATTTTGCTGCTGTAGATATTGCACCTTTACACAAGCAATATGTGGGCACACATGTCTTGATGTAATGTGTGCATACGTCTATGTGTTTGAAAGAAGGAAACCAAATACACCCGTAGAACATTCTGGTACTCGCTGGCATCGACTGTAGCGTTGAAAATGTGCAGTTAGGTTCTGTGGTTGCAATATATTCAACCCCATACCATCACAGTGCCACTGCCCCATCTGTTTATTACATGCATGCAGCAGTCTGCTAGTCTCTCACTCCTTTATGTCTCAATACTCTCCGAGAAGAGAACTCCCATCTCAGAAGAATGTGACGATTTGCCCTGTCAGTTCAAGTGTAATTCTTGGAAATATGCAAATGTTGGTCATTATAGGGCCACCTTGCTCGATGTCAGAACATGTTTTAACACCATTGTATCCTTTTTTTTTATCGCTGATAACTTTTCCAATGTCTGTATGAAATTGAGATGCACAGCTGATCGTTGTGAGAAAGCGATCTCGAAGATGCCAGAGCAGTATCTGTCTGTCTTCCTGGGTAGTTTCGATCTGTGGTCTGCGTCTGTCAGGTGTAACTTCAGTGACTTGGAACCTATCTTTCAGAATATTGATGGTAGGATGGGAACAATGAAGCATCTGCAAGACTCTACGGGCTGATAGTACTGCTGGAATGTAAATATGTAACTTGTTTTTTCGGTTCTAAAATCGGTACTGCGTTGATGTAAACATAATTTAGACGATTTCATAATTTCGGCGGAACTTAAGTCATAAAACAAGTTAATTTATCTGTTGGTCAAGTGACCACATGGTTAAACTATTGTTCAAGAGAAAGATCAGTGCGGAGTCATCTATGGGTACATGGTGAGTGATGTGCAAAATTTCGCTCACTAATTTACGTGAACAAGGGTGCAGTTACAAAAAACAAAATGGAAAGTTTCTATTGCCGCTGGGTATAGATTACATTTCTATATATAGCTAATGTTCCTACTAGAAAGTAGCCTGTTTATGCTTTTGACTTTATGTTCTAGATCTTGTAACGGTTAGGAAGCATTCAATGCCAGCTGCGATTTTACTGGTGTCCAAATGCTAACTCGGTGACATGATATGTGTGAAAATGTAATGCTTGGATGTTGATTCAACTTTAATTTATTGGCACTAGAGAGGTGATGTATTTTTTTTGAAAAGTTGAAAAGAGATTTTTTGTTGCGACTAGTATTCTGTTTTTTTGCAATTTAAAACTTTTTTTGGACTCGGAGTGCGCCTTTTAACAGTCTCACCAATGTTTAAGTGGGGAAAAAGAAAAAATCTGATGTATGGTATAAAATTAGTAATTGTCTTGGTTTGATTGGAACTATTCATGATTTTCCTTCTTTTTTGTAAATAATGGACTGTTTGTATCATTATGAAGCAGTTATCTTTTGTCTTATTTGAAATGGATGTGAATTTCAGTCCAAAAGTTTTTAAAACTTGTTTTCAAAGCATTTTATAATTGTTAAATTTGTCTTTCAATGGTCCACAGCCCTTCCAGAGCTTTGGTTTTGGTGGTGATGGCAATTTCCAGTTTTCATTTGGAATTGGTGCTTTCCCCTTTGGGATTTTCGCGTCCACATTCAACTTTAGTGATGGCAGGCCAGGGCCACGTAAGTTTTTGTTGTTGTCTTATCTCTGTGTGCTGTGCCTGACTCTAAAGTTTTGAGAATTAATGACATGAGCTTTGTTAAAGAACCCATTTCAACAAAACTGGGGGTTTTTTTTGGAGCTGATCCCCTCATTCTTGCAACATAAGTCACTCTGCTATGCAGTGTTTTGTTTTTAGGAAGTTTAAGTCTGTGGCCATTTGAATATTATCATTCTGAAAATGTACTCAGTTGGATCCCACAAAATATAATAAAGATGTGTTAAGAAACTAAAAGCAAAATATGCTCCTTACAATTTCTGTAAAACACTGCTAGTGCCAGGGAATACTTTGTGGCAATCATAGTCATAGAGCAGTTAAAAGGTTTTCAGGTGTTCTCATTTTCATCCCGGTGGTACTGGAAGTCCAGGAAATTTCAGGTGTACAGTCGGCAATATTTTTTTAGATTTTTGGTATTACAAGTGAGAAGTTACCTGTCCCACGAGTGACCCTCACCACTTTTCCCCATTATACTTACTGTTCCTGAAAACTGGACAATGGATGTTTCATCAAAGTTCTTTCCCTCTTTGCAAGTTGGTACAGGGTTATGGTGGCAGTTCTAATCCTTGCTTCTTGTTTTTTATTAAGCAGGATTTTTTATACGGTTGATAGCAGTCTTTTTGATTTTGTCAAACAAGTCTCTTGTCTATGAACAAATGGAACAGTGACTCCTTGAACAGTGATTATATACACCATGTGTGTGTTCTTTTTGTTGTTGTTGGTTTGTATTTTAAAATTCATTAGCTACCACATTTGTTTGTGTAAGTGTGTAGGCTACGTTTAGATTTAGTTTTTATTTTATAGACCCTTTCAAATTCAGTGTGCTCTCTTCATACAAACGAACTGTGCATCTCATATTTTATGCAATATGCTACTGTAAGCATTTTCTTCTTATTTGGAATCCTCTTGAACATGATTATCACGAGCGCTTATTTCCTTTCTTCAGCTTATATTGATAATAACAATGTAGCCTATCTGCAACGAAGATGAGGTGTGTAACAAATTAACTTAGATTACTTCTCTTGTGTATTTACATGCATAATGGGTGAGTATTGGAATGGTTATTTAGCTCTGAGCTAAAATTATTTTCTTTTTCGCTTTTTTGAGGACTTCGGATGTCATTAAAAAAAAAATGTCCTCTTTTCTCTCATCAGCGCCACCAAACTCCCCTCAGCAGGCAGAGGAGCAATTTCTCAGCAAGGTGTTTCTCTGGGTGGCTATCATCTTTATCTTCTGGCTCCTCATAGCATGAACGAAGACTGCGGCCACAGGATCAGCTGTCTGTTTGTCTTTGTCACTTTCTTCCCAGTCGTCAAGTGACCACAGCTAATACATCATGGTACAGTTGTATCTGAGAAGGGAAGGACAGTGCTTTGGGTTTTTATAGTTTACAGCTAGCTGCGTTCGTAGTATTGAATAATGAACATGAAATTTGTTTCTTGCCATATGATTTTATCATGGAAACAAAAGCTGTTGGTGTCATCTCAGGGAAAATATCTCTTGGAAAAATGTGGGGCACTGACAGCTTGAGAGTGACGTGAAGATCATTTCATGGGAAGTTTGGTTTGATGGATAAGAATTTCCAGCTGCAACAGAAAAGGGGTTTCTTGTATGCATCTTGAGAAGGAAAGTGCAATTTTGTACCGTTTCATCAGTGTACAGATTATTGTGTCTCCTTTTCATCAATGGAAACATTTGACTACCAATTTGCATCAGCAATATTCTTTTTATGAATCGTGGTAATTTTTATTTAATAGTGTCCAGTTTCCATGCAAGTTTATGCAAAAACGGCTGTATAAGAGGGTGTTTGATTCCATTTGGTTCTGATTCCCAGATTTTTAAAAAGTTCAATAGCCTGGTCACTTATTTCTTCAGTGATTGGACTTCCCCAAACTTGTACTGAGGCTTTAGAAAAACAAACACATTTTGTTGATCATAAAACTATTTAGATAATAGGATGGAATTTTTTGTTTTCTTTCGGGTTGGTTTAGGATAAGCAGCACTGAAAGTTTTCTTGAATTCATGTCCAGCCATAATACTTGGCATCTGAAGTACAGATTCAGCACATTTTAGTCTTGGTCTTTTATGATGATTTGAAATCAATATATTTGTTGAAATAGTCTTGTGTGAAATGTTGGTTTTGAAAGTAGTGTTCTGAACTTTAGTTGATGATCTGCAGGTTGTGAAAACATCATCTTATGGGAAGAAACGTCTTCAGTCCATTTTGGAATACCATCATGCTGATATGGACTGTTTTCTTGTTTGCCTTTGTAAATTTGGGACCGGAGTTATCTTAAATCATTTGTGTGCAATGGATGTTACTACATCATGCGATTTTACATCATAATAATTTCTGAGCAGTTTTGAATTTATATAAGGTGATTACTTGTTATTATTTGTAACAGGGACGCATATATCATGCGAGCTTGTGCACCGTTTTCATTTGTACATATATACTGTTGTCGTAGATTTTTGTATGTTGCTTGAGCATGAGAAAGTCACCATAAAAGAGGGGACATTTATGTGAAACCATGCTTTGTACATGTCATTGTGATAAATACACAGAGAAATTATCTATTATTTTAAATAATCTCAGTTGCTTTATATAATGGAGTCGCGGGAGTTTAAGTTTAAATATTTTTTAAATTTAATAGCCTTCAGAATGCTGTGAAATAGAGAGTAGACACCTACATTTGACTAATGTATGGGTGAATGGTGATTTTGTCACCGACTATTATTCATCATTTTCCCCCACTATCTAGTTGTGAAGGAGGTCCCAGCATCTGCAAAAGGCTCGGGGGAGGGTTTTTGAATCATCAGTACAATTGGTAACCATGTTAACCCAAGTACATTTTAGCCCTTTGTATCTTTATAGTAGGCTTTGGACTTGAAGGAACTCTGCTTAGATGTACAGCATTTTCTCTATTATCAGGGCTAGTCTATGCATGCAGAATATGTATCCTGTGGATTCATACGAAGATATTTCTTCAAGCAACATACCAGACTGAAATGCTCAATGCTTATTGCTAGTGCCATGTGCAGACTCCTCTTTTAAGTGGTTGTCTTGTTTTTCTAGCTGTAGGCAAATATGGTCATGTTATAATGTCTTCTCACTGTTAAGTAGGCCTACTGGTACAAATTAATTTTTCTGGGTGCCTAAGTGATGAAAAGAGAAAGAGAGAATGTTGTACTTGAGTGCCTATGTGTATGCGTGAGTGCTGTTGCTTATTTGTTCCTACATAGTCTCAGGTGTTGCCTTGCGCGATTGCAGTCCTCACATCATTGCCACAGAGGAGAGTTTTTTTGTTGTTGTTTGTGATTGAAGGAGTGACTGGCAATTCTAATGCCAGACATTATTTATAAATTTAAATACACAGAGGGTAAGAAGCAACTACAGCACGCACTGGCAAACGCTGTCCTCATCATTTAGTGCAGATTGCCTACAATAAGTGTCTCTGTTCTTATTCCAGAGACATAATATCTGGCATCTACATGTTATGTATATATGTGAAATACTAATAACTGGATGGATTTTCTTTGAGAACTCTATGATTAAATGGCGAACCATAATATGTGGTCTTTGATTTTTCATTTTCTGGTGAGCTACAGTGTGCAATGTTCACTACTTATAAATAACTAAGTCTCAAGTGCCTTATTTGATTCCTTGACTTTACTGGCTTTCAAGGCATTCTCAGGATTGTCTTACCCCAGTCCATCTTGAATGATGGCAAAAAGAGTTGTAACATAAAAAAAAAAGAAGCAAAACACTCCCTCCCCCAGCAGTGTAAATTTTGAAAAAACTGGGAATTCATGTGTGCAGAATGTACTCTTTAAGAATACCTTGACAAATCAAGAAAAAGGCCTCCACGACAGCGACAGACTATTCTGGTAAAATTTCAGAGCCATATATCGAACTGAAGGGGATGATATTTTACAAAATTTATAATGTATAATGTATGTTGTGATGTCATATTTTAAGTAAGTGGCTGCTTAAAAGTTAGGGGACTCAGAAATAGTATGTAATTGGCCATAGGTGATTCTGTACCACCGAACTTTGAAAGCTTCACGAGTTGACAAACATTTTGAAGGCCATTCCAAAGGGGGGATATTAACATGTTCTTATGCACAGTTGAATTGTATTGTAAATGGGCTGATCTATCAATGTCATGCTTATGCTGTGGCAGAACAAAATAAGGGAGAACTGCTGCTTTTTCTTTCCTCATCCTAACTATTGTCATTTTACCTCTACTTCTTTTGTATGTTTGTTACTTTCTTGTGAACTGTTATTTCTGGGGTGCCTTGATAGTTGAAGCAGAGTTTGTGCTGTTGAGGGCTAGAGAGGTTTGCAGAGTAAGCCTGATTCCCAGTTTGGACCTCTCTGTTGACATACACCCCTTGGCGCTCATATGACCTTATATGCAGTTGTGAGCTCCATTTGTTTAGTTTAGTTTTAGTAAGAGTTTTACGGCACTTGCAACACAATCAGGTCATATAAGTGCCGAAGATTATAGGTGTACAAGAGAGTAACAAACACAAAAAAAGAAGGAGAGGAGATAAAGACTATAGATTCAGAGGTTTGATAGGAAAGAAGAAGCAAACCACACCAGAGCACCCGCTAACCACCCACTCACTGTGAGCTCCTAAAAACCTTACTAAAACAAACAAAACATTCTGATTGCTACCACAAAGACCCACAATGACCTAGATGAAGGTTTGACTCCCAAAATACTGAAAATGTTTTGGACAATATAGATTATATTAGGGAGGCTGGGTCTTTCATCCCTGCCAGGCAGGCTGTGCGGGGTAGGCTACATCTTGTCGACAGAAAGGTGGAGATGCTCTATAAAATGTCTTCATCGTCTCGGAATCTAACTTAGTCCTGTGCATGCAATGTGGAGAGCCTTAAATTATTACACTATCGACACTGGTATTCAGCCTGCTGGCATTCAATCAAAAGTTGTGTTGTTTACTACTCGGAATATTTGTGATGCTCTTAATTACCAGTCACTGGTAAGTGTTGGTAGGGTCGTTAAACCCAAAACACTTACAGTCACAGTGTATGCTGGTAAGCTATTTTTTTTTTCTGTCGCCTTAGTTATTGTTGCAAAGTCATCTCACTTTTCCTTTGCACTAGTATTAATTACTGATCGTCATCATGTCAATGTGCTTTTCTTCAACTCAAGGATATACACAATTGTCAAGGTAGCAAAATGCACCCAAGAATGATTTTAAAATTTCTGTAATGAAATGCATGAGTAAATACTGAGATGAGGCATTATCAATTTTATTTTTGTAATACAAGTTCAAAAGTACCATACATAATACATTACAATTTTTAGTTATGCCAAGAGAACAGATACCAATGTGTAACATTTCAGAAATAGGACCCTCTCAATAAAACTCAATTCATTTCTAAGAAGATCCAAAGAATAACACACATATATATATACAAATGTGTCACGATGCGGTGGAATCAGGCGCTCGTCAATTTTTGGGCATGTAGAGTTATTGGTATAATCTGAAAGCTGATTTATTCGTCTTGTTTCTCATGAAATATATATACCATTTATCTTACATAGAAGTCAAGATATTTGCGATTGAACATAGTTAGTTCGCCTGGTTCCAGTGATGAAATTAGAGAGAAAATGACCGCTTAAGTTTAGTAACTGTTTTCTCCAATAGCTAAAGAAGTCTTTGAAAACTGAAAAAGAACATATTCTGAGCCTTTAATTTTAATCAATGTTTTTTTAAAGTAAATTTCTCATAGAAATGTGTTTTTATATGGACATAAAAGAGGTTAAGCCCACCAAAAAAATTTGATGAAAATTTCCAAATGGGCGGAAAAAAATGCCTGTTTCTCAGATTTAGTTATTTTGATGAGCGCTTGATTTCACCATGCTGCCTCATAAATACAAATGTGCACGCATGCACACACACACACACACACACACACCACAAGCATGCACACATACACCACAAGCATGCACACATACAAACACACAAGTTCATGAAGAAATCATTATTCTGTACTACTGAGACATTAGTCCTCCAGTGATGCAGTCAGCAGAAGAGTACCAAAGAAGGTCTTCTTGTCAACTCTCACCAAGAACTGAAGTCTCCAAAGCTGTAGGTTTTACTCTGCTTTTTCTTGGGCTCAGCAGCAGAGTCATCATCATCTGTAGCTGCAGTCCTTTTCCTGATCGTGAAGATGTACAAAGAAATGAGATGCAGGAATAAACATCTTGGTTTAATTTTGAATTATAAATCAAAAGAAGCACATTGGCAAAAATAATAATGTCAATAATGGTCTTTAAGTGCAAGGATAGAGCAAGGTAGACAGACTGGAATAATACATGAAAACAAAATAAATAAGACCTATTACTATTACTGTACTGATACTAATGGTGCTCTCCAAACATGCCCCTGAATTACCATTGTGCTGTAATCATCGTAACTCTAAGTCTAAGGATAGACATGGGACAAAATATCCCCCTCCAACCCCCCCCCCCCCAACAAAACGAAGAAACTTTTTAATCTTCTCTACTAATACTACTATTAGTATTATAATGTGTCTACAAGACCACATGACTGCTGTAAAGAAAATGACCATATCTGTAGCATCATAAGCATGGGTAACAAAACAGTTGTAGAAAGACTTTATACTAAATGTCAGGTGTCCTTCGCGTAAGTGTTAGAGTTAGATTGCACAAAAATTATGATGATCTAATACCACAGAAGTATGACTAACGTTCATCATCTCTTTTTCTTCTACAATTTTAAATCTAAAATCCTGCTGTTCTGTAAAAACATGAGAAATATGGAAAGGTATATAGTCCTCAGCCTCCCACAGATACAACAGTGAAACATTGAAAGCTTCATGAGAACAATTCTCTTAGCTATAGTCTTATAGACCTAAATGTAGCACATAAAAAGAATATTGAAAGTTACAGAGACTAAAAATCAGAAATCAAATCTTCTGCATGTTGGTGTAAAGTAGATAATAAGCACACAATTAAAGACCATACCTACATCAAATTATTGCAGAGTGCAATGTGCTGGAAATCAAAGAAAAAAAAAGTTTGGTCTAATAATACTTCTTTAAAAAAGTAGTAATAGAATAGATGCTAACAACTCCGTCAGTTTCGATTAATCACATTCTTGCTAACTAATACATTTGAATGATGGTAAATTTTTATGGTCACATCAACAAAATTCAATATTATTATTTAGGAGGCTGGCTGCTTTGACCGTGGCAGTCAATACCATCCTAGCAGAAAAATAGAGACACTTAATAAAATAGACCTTCCCATACAGAAATCTTGGGTCTCAAGTGTGCCATTGTGAAGAGCCTCACCGTTATACCACCACAGACACTAAAAGTAAAGGTAAAATGCTGGCACATTAATTTGTAAATTATTTTTTATCACATGTCACTGCAGCGGTTATGATATGTCCTATCCGTACACCCTGGGGTAATTTTTGTACCCCTGCGGTTGTATTCTTCACATTTTAGAATACTTCTAGGGCAAAGATCTCTTTGAAACTTTCAGTATTTCTCAAAAAATCATTTTGACAGACTGCTATACAAAGCGTACAGATGGGATTAACGAGTAAATATCCTCCTTGGAAAGTGGTGGCACAGACTTCCCCACGTCGTATGGATAGGATAGTAAAACATGACGTACGGATAGGGTTAACGCCCTTTCAACACTGATGACTACAGCACTACTCATAAATTATGCAGAGGCAATGGATTTTCAAAATTTATCCTTACTTTACATTTTATTGTAGAAACCAATATAGATTCCAATGACAGGAAGTCAAGGCCAGGATATTTTTATGTGCGATAATACTAACAAAAAAACTTACACTGAAGCGCTGTTGATGTATTTTCCAATGCCAGTCTTGTATACTTTGGGACCACTGTCTACTTTCGTTTTTGACTTTTTTTTGCGTTCCTCTTCTTCTTTTCTTCGTCTCTCTAGTTCCTCTTCTCGTTCTTGTTTAAGCTGAGGATAAAAAGTTTCAAGGTCAGAGGTTGATGTTTTTCTTGCAATATAGGCCTACATGTATAGCTCTACAACTAACCAACAAAAAATAGTCCCTCAAGCCCAAGCTTCAATCTTATTGGAATTTCTCTCTAATGCCTTGCATTTCACACAAGGCCCTCCCAATCTTTTCCCCCTCCATTTTTGAAGAATGCAGACTCCATATAGTCATAGTGCAGATCAACTGGGTGAGGGAGAGGCAAAAAACATAAAATAAAAAGACATACTGTAGATCTAGTCATGAAGGAAAAATCATACAATTAATTTTAGAAAGTCAACACCCAGTCTTTGTTTACATTGTGTGGTCAGTATGTATGAACCATGGATGACCTTATTTAGGCCACACTGTGGCCTAAATAAGCTAAACCCCCCTCCCTTACCTTATTTAGGCCACACTGTGGCCCAAATAAGCTAAACACCCCTTCCTTATCTTATTTAGGCCACATCATATGGTAGATTTCTTGAACTAACCATGGATTCGGAAGGTCGAGATTCTACTGATCTTTTTATTTAGTGCGGGGGATTATTTCAAAATAGAGGATGATACTAAATGATAAGTGGACCAAGGGTAAGAGTTGTGTGTGTGTGTGTGAGTGTGTGAGTGTGTATGTGTTTGTTTTGTGTGTGGTTGTGGTGAGAGAGAGATCTAGAGAGAGAGAGAGTAAATGTAATAGTGTGTTTGTGTATGTGTGTAATGTGTGAATGTCATTGTGTGCATGAGTGTCTATCTCAGTTGTACGGTCCAAATGTACATTATTTTGTTGAGAATTTTACATAGAACTCAACTACAACACACCTTTATACAAAGTCACAGAAATATTCTTTTTGTGCTTATTGAGGTGCAGTACAGGGTGATTTTACCAGCAAGGATAATTGGACAAAATGGGCAATATCTTTATAATGCTAATACTGATAGTCATATTTAGACAAATCCTATATCATTCTCTTTTTTTCTTAACAGCTCATGGTTATTAAAGAGTAAGCAAACTAGATCAAGGTAGTAATTTCGGATTCCTAATATTATGGGCATTCTTTAAAATTTTTAACTTGTTTTTAGCGCTTTTCTCAACGTAAAACGGATTCCGTTAAAAAACAACAACAACAATGACCTTATCTTTCTTTTTCAAGATATTGGGCATACATTTGTGTGAAACTATTATATTCTATGCTTTCAAGTACATGAAAAAAGCAGATAAAGTCAAGCAAAATGTTCTTCAGAGACATATATCTAGTAGTAGGCCCACTGGAAAATTTTATAAACCGTAAAAAGAAGACCAGAAAATAACAAAATTATCTTATGATCTTCACTTGCACTTGCACTTTTTTTGACAATTTATAGTCTACCTCATTATCTTTTTTTCCCCACATTTTTCTTCACTATTCATGACAACTGGCATGTTTTTCAGTTATTATCAAGGAAGTGGATAGGCGGACCACGTGGTCTATCTAGCCCCAAAAGGATAGGTGGACCCCGGGGTCTACCTAACAAAATGCTGTTTTAGGATGTGAACCCCGAAGTCAGTGTAGTGAAATAAGTAGATCTAGGTTTAACTTAGGATCGGTGGAACCCGGGGTGAACATAATGAAATAAGTAGATTTCGGTTTATTTTATAGTAGGACTGGCGGAGCCCGTGGTCAACATAGTGAAATTATAAGTAGATCTGGGTTTAATAAGGATTGGTGGACCCCGGGGTCAACGTAGTGAAATCAGTAGATCTAGATCTAGGTTTAATTAAGGATTGGTGGACCCTGGGGTCAACGTAGTGAAATAAGTACATATGTAGATCTAGGTTTAATTTTAAGGATTGGTGGACCCTGGAGTCAATGTAGTGAAATAGGTAGGTTTAAGGTGGACCCCAGGGTCTACTTAACGAAATACTAGTTAGGTTTTAGAATAGGTGGACCATGCGGTCACCGTAGTAAAATAAGTAGGTTTAATCACGGTGTCCCGGGGGTCCACCAATCCTTAATTAAACCTTCTTATTCCTCTACGGCTATGGTGACTCCGGGGTCCACCAATCCTTTTAAAATTAAACCTACTTATTTCACTACGATGACCCCGGGGTCCACCAATCTTTACAGAAATCTACTTATTTCACTACGGTGACCCCGGGGTCCACTGATCTTTAAAGAAATCTACTTATTTCACTACGGTGACCCCAGGGTCCACCTGTCCTAAAACCTAGTATTTCGCTAGGTAGACCCCGGGCCCCGGGGTCCACCTTACACCTGCTTATTTATCACTACGTTGACCCCGGGGTCCACCAATCCTTACTTAAACCAAACCTTATTTCACTACGGTGACTCCGGGGTTCACATCCTAAAACCTAGTATTTCGCTATGCAGACCCCGGAGTCCACCTATCCTCTACAGGACTATACTATTATCAATTTGCAATTTTCATTGATTAGCATATTAAAAAAAAAATATATTGAATCAGAGACTCACTGTCTAAAAAGTCCACTGCTAATGCTATTCTTATCAAAGAAAAGGCACAATTTGACTTTATGACATGTTAAAAAAAAGTTTTAAAAATATCCAGAAAATAACATAAAATGATTATATAGATCTAGATCTATACGTATTTTATTATGTATATATAATATATATATATATATATATATATATATATATATATATATATACTTAAAAGTAAAAGACTACTTAAAAGTAAAAGACTGAGCAGAGGCTTACAATGTAAATTCTGTGCTCTACAAGTAGAGAAAGTCTTAAGTTTGCACAAAACAGATTTTAGAGAAAAAAAAGTTGGATCTAATTATTCTAATAAAAGTAAAAGTGATTGTTATGGTGAGATTTGTTATTAACTCTGGAAATACAGATAGTTGCTGAATCTAAAATTAACTAGAACTGTGCAATTCGTTTTATTTCAATTCCAAAGCCCAAAGGCATAGCAATGAGTTAGATCTAGATCTAGCAGTTGTAGGCTCTCTGGCTGCTTCTAGCGTAGGCCTGCTACTACTGATTCTAGACAGGGAATCTAGATCTAGCTATCACCTGCACTATTAAAGTCAAATATATGGTAAAATAAAAACAAAACTGTGAATCGCTTTGTCAGTCAGTACATCCCAGTTGCCATAGCTGCACGTATTAATAGTTGAATAATTATACCGAAGCAACACGTTATCAGTGTGCAGGGGAGAGCGGGGTGCCCGGGTCGCTGACCGGTCGATTTGGAGGTTCGGCTTTTGTAGATCTATGCATTTTTTACGGAAAGCCCTATTACTAGATCTATTAGTGTTGTGAAAACTTCAACCTCTGCAGCTGAGGCGTCAAAGATGTTGGAAAATAATAATACGTCCTGAAGTTTCATAATTTATACAGAATAACACAGCCAGCAGTTTTTATTTCATTGAGTTATAAAAATGGCCTTGTAACTTGTTTTCAGAAGCAAATTTTAATAGTTCCAGCTCTACCGAATCGATTTTCACGCAAATTCAACCATTTTGATGACCTTTCTTTTCCTTTTAAAAAGATGTAGGCCTGTCGGATGTGGCAGTGCGATTAACACTAAGTTGTTTAGATCCATCAAAACACGAGACTTCGTGGCCGATCACAAAGGTCTACGGGGCTTATCAAGGCCGATTCGCCCTGTCGCGTGCACGTTCACTAAACTGCCTACTAGATAGAATCTACTACCAAAGATTCTCTACATGATCTTTGCTACTACTACTAGATCTACATGTACTACTACTACGAGACAGTACGAGACAGTACGAGAGATGTACTACTACGAGACAGTACGAGAGAGTGCCACCCAGGCAAAGATAGTGTAACTTTTTATACCCCAAATTTGACCCGGAAGTCCATTCGGAGGATTTGACCTTTTCACTTGACCAAAGTGTGCCAAAATGGTAGCCTAGATTTTGCCCCTCCTTGAAGGAAAAATCTGGCCCTCATTCAAACCATTGGGATTGAGCAAAATTTTGCGTATCGTGCTTTGTTCTTATTCATTATGATATATACAAGTTGTACACTGAGACAAAACTGTATTAAATGAGAAAGGTGCACCATTATGAAAGTGGAACGAACTCAGTTGCCTGAAAAGGGTGTCCCCCGGTAGTTTGAGCATGTGTGGCCTAAATAAGCTAAACCCCCCTCCCTTACCTTATTTAGGCCATATGTGGCCTAAATAAGCACTCCCATGAAGGATGAACCATACACACAGCACAGACTCTACAAACCTGCTCATCAGCTTCCTCGTATGGGTCTGCAAATACAACACAGCTCTCCAACAGTATCTCGGTCTGAGGAAAGAATACAGAAAAGTTGCAAAATGACCGAGAAAAGTGTCTCTGCACAAAAAAAGCTACAAGTATAAAGTCACCTTGGAAATATTAGTTTACCTGTATTGCACATCCTTGAGTTGAATACGTGTGGGCTTACAGCTGAAATGTTTTATTTACTACATGATGTACTATTGCATGATATAGAGGGTGCATTGGCAGAGCAGTTAGTGCGCTCGTCTCTGAAGCAGAAAGTCCAGGTTCGAGCCTTGGTTCTGACACAGATTTTTTAAAGCCCCCCACTGTGCACCCAGCAGTAATGGGTACCTGACTTCTAGTTGGGGAAGTAACAGCGGTGTGGAAAGGAACTGGCCACCCTACCATAATGTGCTGAAGGCCCAGGAAATTGTCTCACTAACAAGGCAAATTGTGTCCATGGTCAAAGACCATATGTTTTCAATGTTTTTCACTACCATCCACAACTAGCAAATGCTAGCTCAAAGAAATGAAAACAAAGCCAATAATAAGAAAAATAAACAATTAAGACACAACAATTACAATGGTTACTTAGTGCTGAGGAAAAGTAAGACAGACAGACAGAAACAACAGAGGGAAAGTAAAGAAGAAGGACCTACCAGTGCTCTGCCCTCCAGCTATACCTGCCAGTACCTTTAAAACTGATAAAGTATGAATCTAAGCGGTCACTCTACCTATGACACACTCCGTTTATTGTAAAATTATACATACATGAACCGTATTAGTATTAGGTATGTGAGGAAATGGTTCAAACACGAATATCAGCTTGTGCATGCCTAGGGCACATTCTGCAGTCATGTAATGAGGTGCAGAGAAAGTGAATTGTTCTGTTCATTAGCATGTCATCAGCTGTAAAAGGATCATAGATCTGAGTTTTATTATACAATGAATGAAAAAAAAAGCATAAAATGCTGAATTGATAAAAGTAAAATAAATGCCTATTGAAAGCTACTCAAATACAGATGGTCTAGACTACACTACTACACTTTGTTTTTTAGTGTTAACCGAATTTTTAAAAAATCATTCGGTTTCAGACCATCGTTACAAGATATGGAGTTAGCATTTTACGTTTTTTGATAATATTAAAATGTTTGCGGTAAATTTTTACTTTCAGTCCCGCATACAGATGCACTGCTTCAGGGATCAAATTGCAGTATTGTGAGCTGGAGATCACACATAAATCCACTAAAACAGTCGCAAATCAATTATTTTAAAGAAAATTTCAAACCTAACTGCAAAATATATATTTCTTTTACTTCAGGCCCCCAGTCCCGCTGAAACCCACCGATTGATTTTGTGCTTGCAAATTACTATGCAGGTAGGCCTAAGAGTGATATAACTCGATTTTAAAAAAATCAAATATTAAAAAAACTATCAATTTGCAACGGAAATTCAGTTGATATTTAGTGTTCAGCACATCTTTAAGGAGAAAATGGACAACTGGAGGCTAAGTGTGAGAGGAAAAGTAAAAAAATACTGTATATCTAGTCATGAAATAAAAATCATACAATTAATTTTAGAAAGTCAACACCCAGTCTTTGTTTACATTGTGTGGTCTGTATAAAAGAACCGTGCATCTTTAACATTATTGCAAGCTCTTGTAGCGGCCGTAGATTGATACTAATACACCAGTGTGCTCTTCCGTATGCCATCTTTTAGTTTTTAGACAAAGCGGTGGGGCGACCTTAGAACAGCTTGATTTCGGAATAGGCCTACATACATCCAAGACAAGAGCTCTCCAATTTATAATGATTAAAAAAAAACCAACAACAAAACCCCCCCAACAAACTTCCGGTTCATTATAAAGTTTAGTTTACACAAACTAAACAGTGGGCCTACAGTTTACACCGACAACGGCGACAACGCACCGAGGAAAACGGAGCTTTAGATTAGAAGCTGTAGTTCTAGATCTAGAATGCCAGTCCTGTGAGAGTGATCTGGAGAACCAAACTAGGCAAGGTTTTTACTTCAAGTAAGTCCAAAAGAAGTCTAGAGTCTAGAATCTAGATATTATATATAATATATAATATAATTATATCTGTCTAATATCTAGACTCTAGATTATAGTTATAGATCTAGAATCTAGATCTAGATATAGATCTCTCTAGATCTAGATCTAGACCTATACTAGATCTAGATTAGATCTAGATATATCTATACCTAGATCTAGATCTAGACTTCTTTTGTCTTTTGGGCTTACTTGAAGAAATGAAGAAGAAGAAGCAGGGGGACGAGTTTTAAAAGGAGGAGGAGAAGAACAAGAAGAGTATGAAGAAAAAGAAGAAGTTAGATTCTAGAATCTAGTAATAGGCTATAGGCCTTACAAATTGGGGATTTTTTCGTTGGTTACCCAACCTTGGAAAAGAGGGAGTCAGGGGGAAAGAGAGAGAGAAATCAGAGAGGGTGGTGAGAGCGACAGGGGAGGGTGTCGTCGAGATCGCGCCAAGAGTAGCCTACCGTAGGCCTTAATGTATTTAGCAATGCCCACCGAGCGTGTTTTGTTCCGCTGATATTTGGCCCCCGCCGTGGGGGTGTTTCGTGGGACGAACTAACGCAAAGGTTGTTGTCTTCAACTCACTCTCACGCCGCTTCTCGTGAATGGATATGAATGAAACTTGGCAGCCAATCAGAAAAGAGGTCAATCTCGTAGTATGCAGTTTGACAACTTTGTACCCATCTAAGAAGTAGTCGAAAACGTTTGCGAAAGTGGTTGATGTGGTGCGCTTTGAAGATTTTTCGGAGCTCTGATTTGTCAAACTGACTGATACGTTGTACACCATTTTTCTTTATTCCCTTAACATTTCATGCTTCTGTGTTTAGCGGTTTTGGCGTAAATCTTTAAAAATGTGGGAGTAACTAAGGGAAAAAGCGGCATTGCCATTTGCGCGTGCTGGTTGAACGACCGGCGGCTGGGAAATTTCCACTGAGTGACGTCATCAGCCATCGGTCGCCTCGGGCGCTACAAACGAGGCCCCGATGTGAACCGGAAAGGGGGGGGGGAAGGATACTTGAAAACTAAACGGGGGCCTTGATAACTTGCGTTTTTGTTGCATTTTAGTCACAATACAATAGATGTAGTCATTTTTATTTGCTTGATTGCATGACAGAAGAATAGAAACAAGCAAACATCTTGAGAAGTGGTATGGCATTGTGTTTGCATTATAAAAGCCTATTCCCCCCTCATATGAAAGCACACACTTGGACTCGTCCTGTGTGCTCTGTTTGGAAAAGTGAGGCATTAAGATTGTTATTAAAGAGTATGGTACGTTTTTAGACCAGTCTGGGAAGATAGTCCCGTTTATACATTGTTATCGTTCACGCGTGCGTGTGTGAGTGTGCACGCGTGCATGTGTGTGTGTGTGCGTGAGAGAGAGAGAAAGGGGGGGGGGGGGGTGTAAATACGTTACATTTATTGTACGAGTTGTAGCCTACACATGCGAAATATTCCCATGACTTGTAAACTATATTATTATCTAAACGCATTTTAATCTAACACACAATAGGACACTGTCCAACAATGGATATACAGTGGAAACCTGATATAACAGGGATGGTGGGAGTAGAGAAAATGTCCTGTTATATCCGATCCCTGTTAAATCCGAAATGCAAGGAAAGTAAGCATTTGTGAACTAATACAGCTGTACTTGTTCATGGGTAGTTGCCCTTGCCACAAGTACCCACAGACAGGGGTTTTGGCACTAACTTTCTCCTTGTCTCCTAAAACCTCATCAGAAGAGCTTGGTCCGCAGCATCTGCATCAGGTAGTCTCATCTTCTTTCGATCCAGAGCAAACTTTCCATTGAAGTATGCTGCCACTATCTTCTCTCTATCCTTGATAATGATGTGAATCGACCCTTGTGGAATGTCGAACTGACGACAAATCTTTGCAAGTGGAGCTTGCTTTTTGTCAACAGCCTGGATTATTTCGTATTTTTTGTCAATTGAAAGGCATTTTCTCTTGCGCTTGACATCGTTGGTGACACATTACGCGTGCGTGTTGCTAGGTGTCGGGCTAGATCGAGGTCTGCAGCACACCGCAGCCCTCTCTCGCTTCACACGCTGCGTGTGCTTGCAGTGGCGTGGCTTGGGTGTGCTTGCTCCATCTCTGCGTTACTCTCTCTCTCTCTCTCTCTTTTACTTTTTACACATTGCTAACGACCCTTTGTCCCTGCTATAACCGGTTGGGCTCCGATGAGGCCCTGTTATTGCCGATAACTTTTAATATAGAGAAAGAGAAGGAAAAAACGGGGATTAAAAAAATCCCTGTTATTACCGGATCCCTGTTATTACCGGGCCTGTTATATATGGTTTCCACTGTACACAGAGACTATCTTATTTTCTATAACACAGTATGCATGCTTTTACTAGTAGAGAACTGGATTTATTAGACTAATAAATCCAGCTCACTTCTTACATTTTTGTGACAAATTGATCCAGAGCATTGCTTGGCAAGGAGGAACCTTTTATGTTGCCAAGTTTCATTATAAAATATCAAGACTTTGGGAGAACATATGACTGATAATCTTTGTAAATCTGTAAACAACGCCACTTTTTTACCTATTAATGTCTTTACAACTCAAAAAGTATGACAGATATTAAAAATCTGACAGCATGACTAGATTCTGCATTAAAAGCTGTACTAGATTGCCAAGTTTCATATATATACATATTCCAAGAAATAGGCGAGCTATGACAAATATTGTCTCAAAACGCACCGAAAACCGCCACATTTTTACCTATAATAAACGTCTTCATAACTCAAAAAGTAGAATTAGCTATGAAAAATCTGAAAGCAGGACTAGATTCTGCACTAGAAAATGTACTGGGTTGCCAAGTTTCTTTTAAATACTCCGAGAAATGAGCGAGTTATGACGAATATTGTCTCAAAACTCACCAAAGAACGTCCCATATTTTGGTTTTTTTTTCATTAAATATAAAAGTGTACCAAACATTGATTGATTAAAAAATTCGTAACTTTTTTGTTTATAAATGGATTTTAAAAATTCAAAAAGTTCCATGCTCTGTGAAGATAGAGCTACAAAATGCACCTATTTGCAAACACTTTCCGGCAAAAAAAGGTTTTTCTTGGTCATTGCTATAAAATTAAAAGATCAGTTTATTTCCTATTAGAATAACGTAATCAACTTTGAATTATTTTTCACAAATCCTTCCGCGAGACTCGGAAAGCATGTGACCCCACACATGGGGTACACTACGGTATAGAGCCGACTGGCTCGCTGCGGGGGCCGGGGTCAACGCTCGGTGTTTTTGTCGAAATAACGACAGATCATCGTGTTTGAGGCGATAAAATACTGATTTGTAATGATCTCACAGTCTGGAAAAAAATTAGGCTCCATATATTTGATATAGTGATTGTACTCTGTTAAAGTGGAGATGTTTAGTGCTCTTGGTAGGCTACTTTTTTATTGTCTGTCAAACATGGGGTTGCAGCCAGTGACTAACTTTAACAAATTTGATCGAATTTTAAACAACTACAATTTTCTTAAAAATTGACGGAGAGGTTAAAGAATGGTACCAAAATGCTTAGTGGATATAGGCCTTTCAAATGGAACAGATAAATTTGGCATACAGCCAGTTTGAAAATTTAGTTTCTGATACCTAATCTAAATTAGCACCTGCGGGTGGGGGGCCCCATAGAATACACCTGCCATGATACTGCGTGTCGTAAGAGGCGACTTAAAATGCAAAGGTTGGGTCGTCCGAAAAGGGGGATCTCAACAACTGCAGCAAATACAGAGGGATCACTCTTCTCTCAATACCAGGTAAGGTCTTCAACAGAATCATTCTGGAGAGAATCAAGACAGCAACGGATCCAAGACTAAGGGATGAACAGGCTGGTTTCCGGAAAAATCACTCAACCATCGACCAGATTGCCACGCTGAGGATTATTGTGGAACAGTCCCTGGAGTGAAACTCTCAGCTGATCGTCAACTTCCTTGACTATGAGAAGGCCTTTGACAGAATATTAAAAACAGACTTTTGTTCTGTGACATAAAATAACATATTTCTCTCCCTTCTCCTCCCCCATCCTTCCTCCCCAGAAGGCAATGATGTCAGAAATCAAATTTAGCCAAGACCTTGGTGCTGATTCAGGAAACGCACCTAATGATGGAAAAGAGACGAAAATACAGATAACAGATGTTATCTCTATGAACGATATCCCTAAAGTTGAACCAAACGCTGAGTTCCAATCTTTTCTGGAGCTTCGCAATGCTATTGAAAAGTATCAAAAGGAGAACTCTGTGCAGCTCATTGTGAAGGACTCAAAGCTACTGGAAGCAGAAAGTACACGCAAGGTAGGAATGATTGAGATTGTTAATGTAGGTAGCGTAAACATGGCCTCGCGGGCACTCGCGGCCTTCCGACCGCGTGGTATCGGTAAAATTGGGGTAATTCCGATCGCTGTTTCTTTGCTCTTTCGCTATAAAACACCAAGTACCGCACACCTTGTAAAAGTTCAGCTTTCCCTCGTTACAATGGTGTAAGTTGTTTATGTGTCCGATTAGTAGCAGCTGGAGAATCGCCGACGAAAGCGAAGCCCCTCGCAGTCGGAATGCGTGGTCGGCCGGTTGAAAAATTGACTCGCGTGCATTCAAATGCTTCGTGGAACGAGGGATGATTAAATACCGTCTTTTCATTGGCGGAAAACTGTAGAGCTTTAAACGGGCTTTCCCGTGATATAAGTTTAGCCTTTGGCGTCTTTATAGAAAGCTTTTAAAAATACCGTCAAAATGTTTAAAGTATCCCTTTTTACACAAAATATGTATAATACCAACTTATAACAGGTATCAATTAAAAGATCAGTTCATTTACTATTAGAATAAAGTAATTAACATGGAATTATTTTTTATCAATCCTTCCGCGAGACTCGGAAAGCATGTGACCCCGCACGCGGGGTACACTACAGTATAGAGCCAACTTGCTCGCCGCGGGGGCCGGTGCTCCGCCGCCGGGTCAACGCTCGGTGTTTTTGTCGAAATAACGACAGATCGTCGTGTTTGAGGCAATAAAATACTGATTTGTAAAGATCTCACCGTCTTGAAAAAAATTAGGCTCCATATATTTGTTATAGTGATTGTACTCTGTTAATGTGGAGATGTTTAGTGCACTTGGTACTTTTTTTATGTCTGTCAAACATGGGGTTGCAGCCAGTGACTGACTTAAACAAATTTGATCAAATTTTAAACAACTTCAAATTTCTTAAAAATTGACGGAGAGGTTAAAGAATGGTACCAAAATGCTCAGTGGATATAGGCCTTTCAAATGGAACAGATAAATTTGGCATACAGCAAGTTTGAAAATTTAGTTTCTGGTACCTAGTTAATGTAATATGACTCATGACCGCATTGGAACAATTTCAGTCAGCTTTCATTTTGTAGAGTGGAACATAGTGAAAGACGGAAGGACTTCATGAAATGAGGTTTACCATGCCATATTATTGAAAATGCTTTACTATTACACTTTAGATAGAAAAATCAATAAAAGTCCATTTGTCATATATCACGGATAAGTCGAACACAGAAGACTCGAAATCACGCATCTGTCGAAATGTTCCTGTAGTCCCGTTTAAAAAAAAAAAAATCTTTGTAAGAAAATTATGTGAAGCTTGAACACAAACACGGAATAGTCAAACTAAGTATGCCACCGCAGAAGTCTAAAGTCAATGTCCTTTGAGGTGCACGAAAAAAGGCAAGGTCGGTAAAATACCACCTTCCCCCTCCACACAAGCAGCGAGCTGTGCTATTTTTAGCATGCTGCTCAACACGCATGCCTAAGCCCTGGGCCTAACTAGGCTTGTATGGAGTGGGCGAGAGGAAGGGTTGTGCGTCATACGATATATTGTTTTTCCCCTAAAATAACAATCTTTGTGTTTCTCTTGATTCTCTGACACAGTCGATGCCATAACACTGTTCACGTATCCCACGGATTACAGATCCTTGGAACTACCAAGGCCGTTCCCGACAAATTCGAGCTATCCGTGCTATTCTGTAATTTAAAAAAACTGAAGAAGGTCAATTAAAACATTTCAGACCCTGCAAGACCAGTAAGATGCCCTTAACTCTATTTTCTCAGGCCATAAATCATGTGTGTAGTTTTTGGTTATTTTTTAACCTATTATTATTTTAGCTTAGATTTTCACTGGGTAGGCTACTACAGTGGAGTCCACTTATAATGAGTCCTGAAATAACGAGAAGTCTGTTATAAAGACACTTTTCTAAAACCCCCTTTTTCCCCCTTATTACCTTTGTAAATAAAATACTGCTATAGCGCAATCAGACAAACACGCGAGTCTGTTGTTAGTGGAATATTGCTGCAGCTGTGCACATCGCATAGACCTTTTATACATTGTAAAACCTGGCCAGTTGAGAAACTTGTTGGTGGTTGGTGATCTAGCGAAACACAGCGGGTGAGTTAGCCTAGAGCCCTTTCTTTCTGAATGCCAACGCCGAGCTGTCAACATCGCTAGGGCTAGAGAGAAACCTGATTTGGTTTTTGATCAAGTAAGACCTGGAGGTCATGTTGAACAAAATCATCAGAGGAGGAGATAACAAAGAAAAATAAACAGAGCACCAACCTCATAGATTAGGCCTACTTTATTATTTCCCTTGAATTTATTACCTGGATCCTAAAAATAACGAGAATCCTGCTATAATGGACATTTCGCACCAGTCCCCTCCCTCTCATTATAACAGGATTCCACTGTATTATCCAGATAATTTCTTTTATCTTGAGAAGTTTCATGGATCTACTGTGATTAGCAAGTGAGAAAACAGTTGTTCTTTTTTTTTTTACCCAGGCTGTTAGTGAAACGTTAAAATGTGTCGGGTGAGGATTCAAAAACACACAATGGGGCACAGTGCTCTTGAACCATATGCAAAGTTCTCTTCAATGTAAAATAAAAGCTAGATTAATGGAAACAAATCTCAAGAATCATAAAATGTTGACATGAACCATGATGTGCGTAACATTATTGTATTTGTTGCTGTTTCCTTTCTCATCAGGTTATTCCCAAGGTATATCATTTGGTGAACCAGAAACTCATGTACCACTCCATCACATACTGTTGCAAGTGTCACGGAGAGCTTAAGCAGAAACCAGGTACTCGAGTGAGGAATGTTGGGTGAGTCATTTTGAAATAAGTAGGTCCAACAGTAATTGACAAATTCATTTGGTACTGCCTGTAATGTTTTAATTCATTTGCTGACAGGCACTATATGGCTCTACATCCTAAGAATGACAGGCGTTTTGGCACATACTTAGAAAAATTATTGTGACTTTATTATTTACCATCCAACAATGAAACTTAGCATTCAAAAAGTGTGCATGATGCAAGTTTCGCTGTATTCAAGAGGTGGGGCTTTTAATAGTAGAACAGAGCCAAGAAGATGGAAGAGTAAAGAGTCCTCACAACTCCCAAAACAACTCAAATCTAAGAATGTCTGAATGAATATAGGAATCTCAACTTAATATAGGAATTTCAACTACGGTGCCTGCAAGAATAAAAATAAAACCATGTTTTGTAATTAGCATTAATCCCAAGACAACATACAATTTGCAAGCGAATCATGTGATTTACATTAAATGTATTGTAATTACAAGAATAAAATGTGATTTACAGGATAAAATTGCAGGACTAATGTGCCAATTACACATTATCACAAGACTGAAAATGTTAGTTCAATGTTATCACAAAGACATGCTAGTTCAATGTTGTCACAAGACAACACATGTAGCCTAATTTGTGTGTAATAAATTTTGATAGGAAATCTAAAAATGTGATTCAGTTACAAATTATTTAGATCAAGAGTTATTTTTAAAACTATGATTGTTGATAATCTGAGATTGATTATAATGTCTCCAGAAAAAGAAATGATTGTTTGTATCTAAATTATACAGTGGAGTCCACTTATAACGAGTCCGGAAAAAACGAGAAGTCTGTTATAAAGACACTATTCTGAAACCACGTTTTTTTCTCCTCTTTACCTTTGTAAATAAAATACTGCTATAGCGCTATCAGACAAACTTGCGAGTCGGTTATAGCGGAATATTGCTGCTGTGGTGCACAGTGCATAGGCCAATTTTACATGACGTAAAACCTCGCCAGTTGAGAAACTTGTTGGTGATCTTGCGAAACAAAGAATAGGAGAGCCCATGTGCGCCAACAATGAAGGCCGGAGCATCTGAGTAGGGAGGGTGTGGCATGCACAGACAAGCAGAACACATCGTGTGATATGCCAGCGTAAGCCTAGTTTACATTATCAAGGCCTACCATGCCTCTCACTTCTCCAATGCGGGGATGGAGAGGTCACAGCAATGTGATGGATGGAGCGAATGTGTGACGTGTGCAAGCAGACAGAATGCACCACAGGGTGTGGTGGGGTGGGGGGAAACACAGCGGGTGAGTTAACCCAGAGCCCTTCCTTTCTGATCGCCAACACCGAGCTGTCAGTCCACATCGCTAGATCTAGCACTAGAGAAAGAAACTTGATTCGATTTTTGATCAAGTAAGACCTAGAGGTCATGTTGAAACAAAATCGTCATCAGGGGAGATAGCAAAAGGAAATAAACAGAATACCAAACTCATAGATTAGGCCTACTTTACAGTTTCCCTTGAATTTATTACTGGATCCCTTATAGCGAGAATCCTGCTATAACGGACATTTTGCTCCGGTCCCCTCCCTCTCGTTATAACAGGATTCCACTGTATCTGTTTATATCTGATCTAAATGATTGTTTATATTCTAAGTCTGCTTTTTAGTGTCAAGAAATCTCAACTTTGCATTCATTTCACAGGGCCAAGAGATTGAACTGCCCGATGTATATCCGCTTCAAGCTGACCCCTGACCTCCAGAGACTAGTGATCTTTGACATGGATGAGACACACAACCATGGCATTGACCCAAACACGTGCCAGATGCCCCCTCGCCAACAAGTTTATAGACTCTCTCGAATGAGGAAGGGTCAGCTGACGGGAGTGGGCAAAGACAACATCGGGTCATTGATAGCCTCTGCCATTAGAGACGGTGAGTCATTCAGGAGATTCGCTTGTTGGTGTACATTCTGGCAGGGTTCCCACTCAACCGAGAAAACGCGAAAAAGCCAGAAATTTCATTTTCAAATTTTCTGGTCGTAAAAACATTAAAAAAAATATATATATATATGGAAATAAAAATAAATGGGAGAAAGCCGGGAAATCAAAAGGGCTGCCCATTTTATGAAAATAGGATTATATTGTGCCCGTGATTCTTATTATAAAATTTGCGGTTCAGTACCCCAACCCATCCCCACCCGCCCTGCGTATAGGGGGATCTTGAATTTGCCCCCCTGTAAAAAAAATAGGCCGCCAGTCGGAGAAGCTGATCCTGAACTTGCCCCCCCCCCCCCTCATTATCGATGGCAAAATGAGTCAGTTGCATAAAAATCGAGTACTCGCTACTATTGCAACTGCGCTGCATTCATCGATTGTGTGACGTAAGCCTAATCCAGATATCCTCTCTGCTCCAGACCAATGGCTTGGACTGAGCAGCCCCCCCCCCCCCCCCTCAACTTTAAAAAAAAATGAAGCTTGCGTCACTGTAACAGATTTGAAACTTTAAACAATCAGTGAAACTTGAAAAAACAATCAGTGAAACTTGAAACAATCAGTAGTAGTGTGTTCCATGGTGTGTTGTGATGTACAATTTTTATCTAGTTAAGCTAGGCAGTTTAGTGAACGCGCTCGCGGCAGGGCGAATCGGCCGCGGTACGCCCCGTAGATTTTTGTGACCGGCAGTGAAGCCTCGCGCTACGGTGGGTCTAAACAACTCACAGTTTTGTTTCGTTTTGCGAATTGCACTTCCACTCCCGATACATCTTTTTAAACAGAAAAGAAAGGTCTTCAAAATGGCGGTCTTCGCGTGAAAATCGGTTCAGTAGAACTGGAAATATTTGCATCTGAAAACAAGGCAGTTTTTACAACGCGATAAAATGAAAACTACTGGCTGTATATTTATGATTCTTTCAGAAGTTATAGATTATCCATTCTAGTTTCTTTTGACACCCGAGTTGTTTAGGTTGAACTTCGCACAACGCTACGGCGCTTCCCGTAAAAATGCATACAAAAAGCCGAAACGCCGAATCGGCCGGTCAGCGACCCGGCGCCCCCGCTCTCCCCTGCACACTGTGATAACGTATTGCGCCGGCATCGCTTTTATTCGCGCTTTACTTGTTTCTCCGGATAATAATAATACGTGCGGCTTTGAAATTATGAACGGACTGACAAAAGAATTCAGTTTTGCTTTTGTTTTACCATATTTGGCTCTTGAATAGTGCAAATGATAGGTAAGTCTAGAATTCAGCAGTAGTAGGCTAGAAACAGTCAAAAAGCCAGCATATCTAACTATTTATGCCTTTGGGCTTTGGAATTGAAATAAAGCTTGAATTGCACAGTTCTAATTGATGTTAGATTCAGCATCTAGCTCTATATTCCAGAGTTAATAATAAATCTCATCATAACAATTGCTTTTATGAGACAACCTGTTTCTTAAATCAGTTTTGCGCAAACTTACTTGTTAGTAGTATAGTAGTAGAGAACAGAGTTTATCTAAGCCTCTGCTCAGTCTTTCACTTTCAGTTTCAGTACCTAATAATTTAATGTTGTTATTTTCTGGATATTTTTACATTTACATTTGTGCCATTTAAAAAAATATAATTTATGGCCAATGAGTCTGACTCAATATAAAAAAAATATGCTCATCAATAAAAATTGCTAGTTGATAATAACTCAAAATGTAATGAATAGTGAAGAAACATGTGTGAAAAAATAATAGAATGAGGTAGACTATAAATATAATTTGTCAAAAAAATTGCAAGTGCAACTTGTGTGAAGATCATAAAATGACTTTGTTATTTTCTGGTCATCTTTCTGCAGTTTATTAAATGTTCCAGTGGGTCTACAACTAGGTCTCCGAAGAGCATTTTTCTTGAATTTATAAGCTCTTTTATGCACTTGAAAGCATAAAATATAGCTTCACACAAATGTATGTTACAATACTTTGTAAAAGAAGGATAGGGAGCTGACTTATGGCGGTCATTAAGAGGTTGTTTTTTTTTACGGAATCCGTTTAACGGATAGAAAAACACTAAAAATACGTTTTGGAATCTTAAGAATGGCCATAAAAATTGGAAATTATTACTTAATTGGCTTAACTCTTTAATAATTATGAACAGTGAAAAAAGACAAAGAGAATGATGTATGATTTGTCTAAATATGACCATTAGCAGCAAAGATATAGCCCATTTTGTCCATTTCGGGTTATCCTTGCGGGGGATTTTTTATCACCCTGAACCTCTAGAAGTACCCAAAAAATATTTCTGTGACTTTGTAAAGAGGGGTTTGTAGTTGTGTGCATTCTGTGTAAAATTCCCAACAAACTGATGTACAACACTTTAAAAAATATACATTTTGTGTTGAGTAATGGTCATTTGTGTTGAGTAATGGTCATTTGTGTTGAGTAATGGTCATTTGTGTAGAGTAATGGTCATTTGTGTTGAGTAATGGTCATTTGTGTTGAGTAATGGTCATTTGTGTTGAGTAATGGTCATTTGTGTTGAGTAATGGTCATAAAAAATATTTCTGTGACTTTGTAAAGAGGGGTTTTGTAGTTGTGTGCATTCTGTGTAAAATTCCCAACAAACTGATGTACAACACTTTAAAAAATATGCATTTTGTGTTGAGTAATGGTCATTTGTGTTGTAAAGTTGCATTTTTGTGTCACAAAAACTCAGTGTTAAAAGTGGCTTGAAATTGGACGGATTTTAGGCATGAAAAATCGCCATAACTTTTTAACTAATAAAGATATCAACAAAATTTAAACTGTTTTATGATCATGAAGGCAAGAGCTTTCAAATGAAAGTATTTCAAAGCATATCAGACAAATTTGAAATTTTCACTAAACTGCCTAGTTAAGCGTCCCAAACCAGTAGGCCTACATTTTTTTTTGCAAGAGTCATCAAACTGACAGCCTATAACTAGCAACCCTCCCCAACAAGCCCAAGGACAGCTCTTTCATCACAGTTAGTTAGTTTTAGTAAGGTTTTACAGCGCTTGCAACTGCATAAGGTATATGAGTGCCAAGGGGTGGATGTCAACAGAGAAGTCTTTACAGGGAATCAAGACTTACTCTGCTCACCTCTCTAGCTTCAACAGCACAAAGTCTGCTTCGACTATCAAGGCACCCCGGAAATAGTGGGTCACAAGAGTGTGACAAACATACAAAAGAATTAGAGGAAAAATGACAATAGTAAGGATTAGGAAAGAAAAAGCAGCAGTTCCCTATTGTAGATCAGGCACACTTATGAGTGTGACCTTGATGAATCAGCCCTTTACAATTCTACTGTGCCTGAACGAGAAATGTCCCCCCTTTGGGAATGGCCTAAAGACACTTCAGTCAGTGGCACCGCCCTGCGGGGTACATTTCATGGTAATTCTACTTGATGAGTTGAGTTTGAGTAAAGAGAGGTAGGCCTACATCAATTCAATAACAGTATTTAGTGCAGGAAATAAGCAAGACAGATTGACAGAAACAACAAAGGGAAAGAAAAGAAGTAGGACCTACCAGTGGCGCCCTCCTACCACTCACTTGATGAGTTGCATACATGATAATAAAAAAGCTCACAAGAGAAAAGTCTTATCAGTTGAAAAAAAATTGTAGGCATTTTTTACACCCACATCGACACAATTTAGATCATTTAGGAGACAGGCTCCCGATTCTGTCTGACAGGGCCGACAAGACTCGGATACTTGATAAAATTTTGTCCCCACTCAGAAATCAAACTCTGGTCTCCTACAAGCAACAGTGAAGCACCTAGAGATCTAACCATAACACCATAGATGCCAGTGAGTAAAATTTTACCAACCAAACTTTTATGAAGTAGACAGTTATTTTTCTTTTTTTTTTTCCTTTCCTGGTGACAAAACTGCCTTGCGTAATGACTTTTTTTTTCACTGCAAACTAATCAAGATGCCTCTGGCCTTTTCTCCCTCAGTGACATCAGTCCCTGATACAGAGTACCAACCAGCAGCAAAACAGGCACGAATCAAGGAGGAAGCGGCTGGTACCGCACAGAATGATGGCCACACAGAAACAAACCCCAGCAGTTTCGACCGACTCGCTGACCCTCACGCAGAGGCTCTAGCCGACGACCCAGAGTCGCCACTCGACTCGGAGTCTAGCTGTTCAGACAGTGATGACGAAGAGTTGCAATCACAGCGCCAGCTGCTGCCTTTCCCGATACGCCTTATTGGCTCAGCTATTCAGAGCTCTCCTGAGCTGATCGAAGCGAGTAAACAGCTGATCGAGTTGCAAAAATCTAAGCTGATGCTGGAGAAACAGAAGCTGCAGTTGCAGACAAGGAATCTGGAACTTGAAAATTCAAAATTGGAACTGGAAGTGAAAATGATGGAGAAAAACCTTGCGTCTGAAATAGCAGCAACGTCGGGGGGCAGACAAGACACAACGATATATCTTCAGGCATCGTGATAGTTTCTATAAATGTTTTGACTTCTGTACATATGACGTTCTTTCTACTGGAACTCCTGTCTGCGAGTATGTGGATAAATTTAGAACTTGTGACTTGTTCATACAATTTGATTTAGTTTTACATGGGAGTCTGTGACTCTTGTCAAATAATTAAAGAATTTGAATTATCACTAGCTGTGGGTCAGTCTTTTTGCTGAAAAGCATGTTGTCAGTTATGTTGTCTTTGAGCATTAACCCTTAAGATTCTGGTCCCTGATAAATGTTTGCCCGATAAGCGCAATCCCGCGCGGCGCTCCACAGCTGGTCCCTGATCAGTCGTCGTCCCGCGCGGGCAACGCATTTCGTTTAGGGCGGGGTCTGCATCTGTGTGCTAAAATGTGTGTGGGTCAGTCTGCTTGTGCCTGTGTGTCCATCTGGAACT